TTCCCTTCATGGCCTGGGAGCAGTTCCCTGTGGTTGCTCAGGGATGTGACAGAAGGAGCCTTTCACAAAACCTGGCAAAACATTTCTTTCTTTCTTTTTTTTCTCCACCGCCCTCCTGGATATGCAGTGGCTGCCAGGCTGGATCTGGCTGTCCTACATCCCAAGCTGGGGCTGCATGGGAGCTGGGGCTGCTGGGGCTGCACGGGAGCCTGCCTGCAGCAGGGGAAACCTACCCCCCAACACAAGGAGCCCAGGGCTGGCTGAGGTGGGGAGGAACTGCAGATGGAGCAGGGACAGCCCACACATGCCGGGTACCCAGCCTCGCTGACGAAGGGCATCTGCAGGATAAGCACACGGCTCGGGAAGGGGAGCGCAGGGGCTTAAGAAGGATTAGCAAGAGATGGGAAGATGGAGGAGCAGAGCAAGAGCGTGCCGAGGGGCTGGCAGGAGCTGGCTCTTGTCAGGCAGCACATGCCACCGACCAGGGCTCGGCACGTCACCGCCTGGCCCCGGCGCCCGTTATCTGGAGCTCCAACCATCCACTTGTCGCTTCTCTCCTTTAAAAGGTACCCGAGTCCCTGCCGTTATCAGGCGCAGTCGATAGCACTGTCACGCCTGCAATAAACAGGTTTACAGATATCCCACTTGTCCTTGCAACCTGGAATGGATGTCCCCATTGTCCCTGCGACCCCTTCCCAAGGGGCTGTGGCTGCTGGCCCACCCAGGGCCAGTGAGCATCCCAGCAGGCTGCGTGCAGATGCCAAGCATGTAGATACTTCATGTGGAGCACGTGAACCTCCACAGAGCAGGCACAATGCCTCTGTGAGGCAGTATCGCAGTGCCTGAGGAGCAGTGCTCTAACCAAAAAAAGGCAGGAAAACAGCTGGAGAGACCAGCACTCAAACCCCCAGGAGAGCCAGGCACCGTGGTGGGACTGCAGCGGGGAGGCTGTGCAGGGAGTGGCCAGGTGTAGGGGTGGCTGGCACTGGTGGCTCCTCCTCAGTTTTTCCACGTGAAGAAAATGCTGCCCCAGGGAACAGGCTGTGCTCAGAGCCAGGCCTCGGTGGCAAAGTTCAGCTCAGGGCAGTTTGTCATTAAGCCCTCCCAGTCCCACAGCCCCTGCTGGACATGCTGTGGCCAGAGGTCAGGCCAGCCACGGTGCAACACAGCTCCGAGGGCTGGCGAAGCAGAAGGAAAAGTGTGGAAAGTGGCTGCCCAGCTTTCACTGTCTGTGGCCCATGTGCACACCACCTCCAGGACACAGCTCTCAGCGAGCTCCTGGGGTAGGGATGGGGCTGGACACATAATCCAGCACCTCACAAGTGCTGTGATGTCTCCATGGCACCATCTTCTTCTTCAGCATCACAAGGGGGAAGACCCGCCCATTAGGATGCATTTGCCCCCAGTGCTCACCAAACAATATGGGCATCTTCCTGGGATGCAGGGAAAGGAACGAGCAAACACCCCTGGCTCGGCTCCTTGTCCGCACGCTCCACACGCTCCTCTCTCGCGTGTCCTGCCCGGGGGCAGCCAAGACGCAGGGAGGGGGAACAAACTCGCTCCTGCTCAGATGGAAAATCTCTGAACCAGCACGACTTGGCTGGAACCCTCCAGGAAGGACCTGTAAATCTGCTCGCTGTGACGCTGCCAGCATCCCACGGAGCACTGGATCCAGGTGGAGAGTCCCCTTGCAGGCAGGAAGGGAGGAAGCTGTCTGCAGAAAGATGCTGAATTTATGTTATTCATACTCGCTCCAGGAATGTGGTGAATGAACTTGCAAAGCCCAGGGCAGGAATCAAGTGTGCTTCAACCCTGACCTTGCCTGACTTTCTTCCAGGCTGAAGAGGAGGTGGAGACAAGCCCCCAGCCCATCTGAATTTACTGTGTGCCTTTTCTTGTGGCAGCTTTCCTCCCCCTGCATGCATAAAATGTGATCATCAGAGACTGAGTCTTTCACCAGGTTTCAAAGGTGGCCAAGCAGGGCAAAACCCTTCTGTCAGCCCCCAGGAAGGGAAGAGAGGGCAACAGGAACATGAGGACATGGGCCATGCCAGCCTCCTCCCTCAGGGGGGGCAGTAAAGACATGCTCAAGACACATGCCCAAGACATGTTTATATCCTGAAGATGGGCATCACAGTAGATTCCATCACTGTTGGCTCTTGCAGGCTCACCTAGAAAAACACTGACTAAAAAGTACATTTACAGGAAAAACCCCAAACAAACCCTCACCAGCTAGAGAGGACTGTCATGCCTGGACTTGCCTTTCTGCAGCGATCTCTCCTTTCTTTCTCTAAAGCTGCTGCCAAAGCTTATTTGGGTTAATGGTGTTTTTAAGCCTGTGCCCTCTTGATGGATTAAGAAAACCAGAAAAGATGCAGGGTCCAGTTTCTGTAACTGTGTCAAACCCCTGCTTCCCCCAGCCAGTCAAAATCTGCAAGCTTTTATTCGCGCTCTTCCCAGAAATCCCCCAGGCTGGCACAACTCCCATGCCAGTGCTCAGGCCCACATCCCTGTGTAAGCAGGTAAGTGCCCTCTCCTCCCACGGCAGCGGGAGGCAGCTCCACCATGATGCAAGCCGACCATCCAAAAAAGCCTTTCCAGCTTCCCAAGGTCTGGTTTGTGTAACACTCTCTCTGAGAGCCAGAGCCCGCAGCAGAGCTGGCACCGTCTCCAAATTTCCATTTCAAAGGCAATTTCAGCGTGTATTTTGCTTTACAACTCTCCAGTAGTGTCCCGGTTACAGCCCTCCTCCCACAGCAGGAATGCCAGGTTCGGAATTGTTAGTTTTGGTCATGCTTTGCTTTTTTTTCATACTGTTTCAGCAGTGCTGTTACAGTCAGGGCGCTGCCTTCATGTTACAGCAGCAAAAGCAGAGATCACAGGGAGCTGCTACTGACAGGCTGGTAAAATGCAAAATGCAACGTAAAAAAAAGCTCCCAAAATACCACAGTTAACTTAAAAAAAAAAAAATCAAAATCTGTAACAAAAGCATTTTGGCATAAAATATTGTTGGAATGTTTGGATTTCTGTTTTGTTTTTTAAATACTTTCCTGACCAGCTTCCTGCTTCTTTTAAGCCTGTAAAATTGCAAGCATGGTACTGAGTCTGGAGGCCAGCACGCTCCATCCACGTGAGCACGGAGCACAGCCTTCTCCAAGGGATCAGAGCTGAGCCTGTGACATGCCTGCTCCCACGTCTGCTAGCAAGAAAGGCAAGTGAAAAGATGGGGATGCCAGGGACACATGGCTGAAGGAAAACACCCAAATGCATGCGGCAAAATTTACTACGTCCTGGACACACACGTGGTAGACCTGACCTGCTCCAGGTGAGCACTTCCAAACTCCAGGCTCTGCACATGGAGCTAATGCATCCAAGTTCCTGCCTGGCCCTCACTGCAGCTCCCAGCAGAATGTGTCCCCTACAACCTCAGGGGCTCTTAAGGAGGTAGAAGCAAGGGGCAGAAGGGACACAGAAAATGGGACAGTGCCCCAGCTGTATGAACGTTGTTTTATTTTTACAAGGCTCTAGAGCAGGAGGGTGAATAACTACAGGCAATTCCTGCAGCTACAGCACATGAATGTGAATACAGGAGAGGCTGGTACAGGAGAGGCTTAGTGACAGCAGTCGGCTTAGGAGAGTGACGCCTCAGGCTTGGATAGGTCAGTGGCAGGACCACTCACTGCACTTCCTAAGAACCAGCATTTTCCTTCCGTTGCTAAAGGTATCTTCCAACCCCTCCTCCCAAGCTGGTACAAACATAAGCCAGTAAAACACATGGCAGTGGAGTCTGCTACCGCATGCCAAAAACCAGCATCCCTATTGAAGGACACACAAGGATCCTTCAAAGTCAGGGCAGCACAGGACATGCTCTCTCCTTGCCTGGACTTGTTCCCAGAGCAATCTCTGGAGCTGCTCCAAGAAAGCTTTTAAGTTGCTGGAAACTGCAGGGCTGGCACCCCCATGTGGTTCCTGAGCCCTCGGTGCAGCTGGAGCCGCTTCTCACCAGGCTCATCCATAGTTCATCCACCAGGAATCACAGTGCAGAGACTCTGGCACACCGGGGTGTCAGAGCTGCCCCAGCCCCAGGCAGAGCACAGGTCCCTGCTACCGCAGAGGCGTTGGCTCAAAATCCCACCACAGAGGGGCTGAAGCCAACTCGGGCATGGAGTTTTTCAAAGTGATGTATTCAGATTTCATTTTGATACAGGAAGGAATCCCTATGAGAGCTTTCCCTCACAGAGAAAAGCATTACAAAACCTTCCTGCGGCTGGCAATGTTTCTTATGTACAAAAGGTTAATCCTAAAGATTGATGGAGACTAAAGTAAAACTGCCAATTGTCACTGGTGCCTTGCCCTGGAGGCTTTTGGTCGAGCAAGCTTGTGCCCTTCCTGATTAGCATATCCTTCAGGAATGGCTGTTCCATTCCACTTCTAAGTTATGGACAGGAAACATGACCAGTAATATAGGATACACTTACATCTGCCAAGTTGCACAGCTACTCACAGCCACAGAGTAAATCCTACCACTGCTGAGCAGCAAACAAGACCAAACATGGAGCCTGCGCTGCTCATCCCAGCAAGGACCAGCTGTAGCAACACAGAATGACAGAACTGCCCCTGGGTTGGGTTGCTGACCCCCAGGGATCTCCCTCTGCCACATGCCAGTCATGCCCTGAGCAGTAGGACACATGAGCCTCTGTGGACAAAAGGCTCATTCAGAGCCCCGGCGCTGCATCTGCTGCCACGTTTCAGAGGAGGAGGGAGAGAGATGCTGAGGAGGGAGCTTGAACCACTGGAAATGTTTAAACTGCACATGAGGGGAATCAAACTGTGAGTGACTCTCGCCCTGTACAACATAACAGCACCAGTGGCACAGGGATGCACAAACACTGGAGAGCAGAGCACGGCTCCAGGATGGGAAGGAAGGTGCAGAGGTGCGTGCACCAGGCAGATGGTCCCCGAGCTGCGGCGGCTATTTCACAAGAGACAAAAAGCAGATGTTTCACAAAAGCTCACTTTCCAGGTTTATTAAGTAAAGTTAACTGAATTGTTTTCATTTTGTGGGGATTCCTTTCCGTCTAACCTGGCAGGTTAGCAGAGTTGCACAGAATCACGGTTGGACTGTGATAACCCAAATACAACTTTGGCTCATCTCACCGCTGACACATATGGAATGACTTGGGGGTTATTACATGCTGTGTCTGCTTGAGGCAGGTACATGTACAGATCAGCACAAGTTGCAAATGATAGTTTACATCCTTTCAAAACCAAGCAGGGCATTCAGCAAATGCACTGCCATGAGAAGACATATGAAAAAGAAATGATACAGACTTGCAAATACATAAGAAGTTCAAGAGATGCAAGAAACCTCAAACACAAGAAATGTCAAGGGGGAAAAAAACCACTTAATTTCAGACACAATGTGTTCAAATGAAAAGCCATCTGTAATTCAAAGTCCCTTCAAAACGGGAAACATACAGTAATGCAATTAAAGAGAAACCAGGTCTCATCCTGGGAAACGTGTCCAAAAGCACTGATGCACAAACAGGTTCAGAGTTCTAAGCAAAATGTCCCTGGGCATTGGTGTACTTGACTCTTGGAGCCAGAGCAAAGCAACTCATTACACTTGCTGGGCCTACTGCTGGCTCTTGGTGGCCTAACAGCACGTAGGATTCCAGGTGTCATAGAGAAGGCAGCACACAAACTGCTGGTTACTGGGAGAAATGCCACGGGCCACATCTCCCAGGGAGCAACTACAGTAAGGACACCTAATTCTGGTAGCCTGGCCTCCACTGCACACAACGTTAGTGTAATGTTCTGCAAGGTTCTTCAGTTCTTAGCTCACTCCTTTCTCAGCCTGAGTTGGTTCTGTCTTGTGCATGAGCACAACCGGCTGTGCAAAATGATCCAAAAAACAGAAGGGACAGGACCAAAGAAAACTGGCTGAACCTGGGGCTGGCTTTCAGCTCCTATTTTCAAATAGCAGTTAAAGGTTGGAAATTTATCTACAAAAGAAATAATATAAATGAAATAAAAAAATGGCACCGTCCACAAAATTAAAAAAAAAAAAAGGAAAAGAAAAATCTTACAACACAGCCTCATAAAAATGGCTTTGCAATGAGAGCTCAGTCACAAAATGAAGGGTTCTAGCTCTTCGTACATCAGAAGAGGAAACAAAGCTAAAAAGTACTAGTCCACATTCTCTTAATAAGTTAAACTTACTTTCCCTCCCCCTGTCTACAAAAGGGGTAGAAGCAAAAGGGAAAAGAGGCTACCAAAAATTAAAAAAAAAAAAAAAAAAGGGAAAAGAAAAAAAAGAGACGGAAAGAGCGTGAGAGAGAAAGACAGAGAGAGACAGAGAGAGAGCAGTCTGTGGTCAGAGGCTCAGAGCAGGGCTGAGTTCCTTTTAAGGGTTTAAAAGATGCAAAACAGTTCCTCAAAAGTTCCCTCTCTTCAACAGTTAGTTCAATGCTGTAGCCATAGAAACTCAAGTAGATACTGGAGGAGAGATTCTGTCGGGCAGATCCGCCGCCGTGCGGAGCAGCGCTGCTCAGCGTGTGTTAATCCTCGATGATTATGGGTTCATCATTCATGGGCTGGCGGAGCTGCACTGTCTGGATGGGCCGGAGGATAATAGGCTTGTAAGGGCGTCTGGCGGCTCGCTTGGCTTCGGAGGAGGAAAGCAGCTTGCGGATTTTCCTGCAGACAGTAAGGAAGAAAGGAAGGGATTACAGAGACTGGATGCTAAGGCAGCATAGGTTTCTCCCTTTCTCCAAGGGAAACCAGGCCTACACATGCAGGGGCTGCTCGCTAACGGGGTAGGCTGACTCTGGTTCTTTTTGCTATGTCCTCCCTGGGAAACTTAGGTTTTCTGATTTATAAACCCCCCAATGATGAGGAAATTGCATTCTCTGTTCCAGAATCCTTCCCCCTCAGAGTAGAAGGCATTCTGGTCCAGCCTTGTAGCACCAGGGTCTACTGCTGTGAATATAACATGTGAAATGGTCAGGATAGTCCGTTTCTATACCACCGATTTATTTTGAATTTATTTTCATCAGTCGGACATGCTGGAGGCAGCTTTGTGTGAATTTATAAAGCCAAGTTACAACCAAACCTCTTCTGGCAATGCTGGTCACCTCCCACCTGCTAATGCAGAGCACTCTGCTGCTCCTCAGCCCCGAGCAGGAGCACACAGCTCCTGAAAACCCACAGCACAACATGGAGCTGTACCTCAAGGCTGAGCTGTGCAGGGTTGCTCCGTGACAGCCTCTAACCAGTGAACCAGTACTGGAGCCTTTCCCCCACGCTGGGAACACTAAAAGGATGTCTCCTCTTCTTATTTCTTTCACACTATGTATGCCCAACCCAAAAATGGGCAATATTCATATCTTGCATTTGTTAAGGATTTCCCTATATGTTACAAGACTGGCAGCAAGTCTTATCAGATGCAGGAAGCAGTTTTCCATATGGAGAGAAAGCAAAAGAGACAGAGAAAAGGGAGAGAGGATATACCAAAGTTTTAAAATTACCAAAATAAGTTAGACAGGGACAACACTGAATGACTGCTTGTTTCTTTTTGTCAATACCAGGCTTAGACCTAAAGGAAGTATCCCAAAAAAACCCCCATCAAAATCAAAAAACCTGCAACAATAAAAATGTACTGTGTAATGAGAATGAGGAATTCTTTTACAGAGGATGTTGTAGTGGTCAAAGGCATATAGAGATTAGAGGAGAAAGTAATAAATATTCACAAGAGTAGTGCACCAGTACCCACTATGCACAGCCTTGAGCTGAGGAACTGGGGCAACAGGGAGGGTCTGATAAAGCAGCACTGCCTTCCCTTGCAGGCTCCTGATGGAACGAGTTTTTGGCTTAGCATGAGACCTGAGGGGAAGGGCTTTACAGTTCACATCTCGGCCATCTATCCCCCAAATTTGGTTAGTGAACATTGCTGGGACCAAAAATCCCTTTTGTCGGTTGTTGAGGTTTTTTCGGTTGGTTGGTTTGGTTTATTTGTCAATGGAAGAGATACATTCTTACTGAGCTGATGCCTATCACTGTGTTATTTATGATTTCTGTCTTTGAGATACGATGGTTGCTGAAGAAAGTGGTCCTTCTCTCCTGTAAAACTTACCCTTAGCATCACAACAACTGACAAATCATCAAATCCAGCTGAAGATTTTCAATTGGCTCTTGTCAGATTTGGTCATGTCCTCACTTGTTTTTTTTTGCCCACTGAACAAGACAAGTTGCTGCACAGAACTTACACTCGCACAGACATGTCTTTTGTTTGCCCAGTGTGCCTCTTTTCTCTCTTCTCTGAAGTTGGAAGGCCACAGGGAGAGGAGAGAACAAGGTGGCAAAGTGATGGTGGGGGAGAAAAAAATAAAACCTTGATGTAATGACTTTTCCAAGACTTTTTGGCTGCATTTGATCTCCTTTTAGCCAGCAGAGCTCCTTGCAGCACCCCCATGTGCTTTCTTAGCCACGCCACCATCTGAAACATGTCTTGCAGCAGTTCTAGATTCTGATCAGGTCACTCGCTGCCTCCGCTTGCATAAGTTATAAATGCCAAGTTCCTTACTGTGAGGCTTGAATGCAGAAACTTACTCCTTTCATTCGACCAGCTTTTCAAACTACTCCCTCAGAGCCATCCAGTTTTCCAGCACCGTTCTCAACGGCGCTACACAAAAAGGGGAGGAGGGAGCATGTAAAACTTCAGAAAAACCTACTTTCTGTGACTGAGAACACAGCCTGACCCTCAGCTGGAGGATGATATGCAGATATTGCAGCTAGATTGATTGCTACGGAGCCAACACAAAGCTCAAATTGTTTCAGAGCTCACAAACAAGTCTTACATTCTTGACACTGGAATGCAGCAGATGGTTCAGGGAAAAGTTAGAGGTGAAATGCCCGACAGAAAACCCGTGCCGCTGACAATGCTACAGTGCTCAGGCTTCCCTGCTCTTTAACAGGCTGCCAAAAATCTCCTTTCACCACTCATCAGTCAGCTAAGCAGCAAGGCTGTCAGACAAAGAAGACTTTTTTTTCTTTTTCTTTTCTTTCTTTCTTTCTCTATTTTTAAATAGAAGAGATAAGATCTTACTGAGCTGATGTTTATCACTGAACTACGATTTTCATTAGAGATGTGCTGGTTGCTGTGGGACTCCTCTTTCCTGTGTCAGTCAGTGGTTCTGTATGAGCAAATGATTCCGAGTCTTTACAGTAAATTGCTGTCACAACCAACACCACACTTGATGAATATTCTCACTGTTCTGTACAGGTCAAAGGGCAGGACCTTGTACTGACACACTGCTACCACACACCTGCAGTATTTCATGTGGGTTGGATGATGAAGATATCAAGAAGTGTTTCGTAGATGTAGGATTATGAAATAAGCCTTGAGCATCTAAGGAGTGAATTAGAGACCATACAGCCTGCATCTACAATGGCATGTGAATTTGCCAGAGCTGCAGGTCTGAAACAGGGTTCTAGTACCTCTTTATCAAAGCAAGATGGCAACGGGAATAAGGAAACTGCTTCCCCTGAAAATTAAAAACTTCTTTCACTTAATTTTCAATCATATATGGAACCCCACTGCTTTCTTTCACAGCATCTTGCAGGCGCAGAAAGAAGGGAAAGACATGGTCAAGATATGAGCTGGTGTGAAATGCATAGTTGCATTAGAGGTGTCCATAGGATCAAGTCTGACAGGGAAATTTATTTCATGTTTCTTCTGAGTTCTTACAGGGTGATTCCTGCCCTGAAATCTGATGATCCAATAGATCAGTGGTTAGTAGCTCCAGCATTACCAGTCTCAGCTTGTCTATGAATCCCACCGTTGGTACTAGGCCCACAGACACTTGACATGCTTTGCAGGCTAAGATGGAGGTTGGGGATATCAAGACTGACTATTCACTTCATGCTGAACAAATCAATACTCAGAGTAGTGCCAAATTAGTAGTACCGGAAGAGACAAAGCACTCAAAACTCCTGACCTCCTCAGTCACTTGTAAGGGCTCAGACATCCAGTAATTGTCAGGTCCATCTCTGCAAGAAGCTGGAGAGAAAGGTAAGTGCTTCTCTGCTGTTGGGGTACTGATATTGCAAGTGTTGATAACTGCAGGCTTCAGACCATGACAGAAGCCAGACGGCACCTCTGCTCTCAGAGAAGGCTGGAAAGCAGGGCTGCAGCTTTGCTCTGACCTTCTTCAAGGTCACCCAGGAGAGAGACATCAAGTTCTTGGGAGGAAACCACACAAGCCTTCTCACCACACCCAGGAGCAACTCTCCCTCCCTTCCCAGTAATAATAATACTGGGAACATACACACAAAGCATTTGCATTAGGGATCAGGCCACATAGCTTCTACCACTCTGCCAGCAGTCTGTAAACAGAGTTTAAAGTGAAACTCACACAAGGAGTTTCTTTTGCTATTTTTATCCTGTGGGCAGAGCAACAAGAGGGACTAGTAGAAGCAGTACCATCAAAGGAGGACACTGCGGGGCTAAATCTCACCACTAGTGGTGGCAAATATAAACCACCAAAGAAATGAGTCAACTCAGCCCACGGAAACCCTCTGTCACTTGCAGATTTCAGTACCCAGACACACTAGGAGGTGTTCTGAAAGGTAATACAAGAGACTTCAACATGCAAGAGGGCACGCAGAGCTCTGCGTATAGGAGGCTCTGCTCCACAGCATCACCTGTGAGCCAGGGGGCCCCAATCCTGTCCCACTGCAGTGGGACCTCCAAGGGAAGTGATGGGTCTGAACCAGGTGAACTTCTCATCCCAGTCTTCCTCCCCTTTGTGCCCATCTCTTACAGTAACTCCTCTGGAAGAAGAAGAATCTGCGCTCTCTGGAATGCAAGCGCATGATGAGGTATTTCCCAGCCTTTACTCACCTCAACACTGGCAGTGGTCTCTGCCTTCAGTTTGTAGCAACAGATCTGCTGACGAGATCCCTGTCTAACCACAACATCAGCTGCAGCACCCACAAACCAAAAGGCCTCCCCTTAAATCCTCTGAAAGACCATGTTTCCTACCTGGTTTCTTCAGTGGCCATGTAAAAAACATCGTCTGGTGCATCAATCCAGTTCATCCTCCTCCTTTTCACTGGAGGCATGGATCCACCACGAATTAATCGGACTTTTGTTGGGTATGATTTCCCATTGAGCAGCAAGTTTCGGCTTGGTCCCTAACGTGATACATAAAAATGTACAGTTACGGACTGCAACAAACCTGCAGCAGCATGTGAAAAGCACTCAAAGGAAAAGAGAATTAAAGTTTTCGGGTAACTTGTTGAGAGTTTATGATAAATACTTCCCCTCTGGCCCAGAACACAGAATTCACATATAAGCAATTGTTCACAAGCAATACAAGTTAGGCACCTTCAATATGCAATAGGACAGCAATACTCCAGCGACAGGACAAATAATAAAATGGCAGGCATTACCAATAATGTTGTTTGTGTCCGAAAGATGACATCAAGTTCAAAAGACTGAGCATAAGAATTAAGATTTCAGCTACTACATAAATCTAGAGCAACTCTATTGATTTCAGGGAAGGAAATCTAGCTACAGAGTAAATCAAACACAAAAATCAGTATTTACAGTTATTCTGTGGTACTAAACTTACCCATATCCTTTCTGTTCTAGGGAGGTTAATATTTAATGAGGATAGTATAGAATTAAATACATTGTTGAAAACAAATCTAGCAGCTTTTATAATAAAATCCTTTTACTACTGAACACCACAGATTTCCCATAACAGATTTCCAATAACAAAACTTTTGCTTTGCGAATGAACACAGGCATAATTTTCTAGACCCACAGTAACCCCCCTTTGACTCAACTGGAAAAACATGAACTGTTATTAAGAGAGGTGCAGATGAAAGGGAGAAAAGTGTTAAGCTTCTCAAATGCAGTTGTCCTTGATCATTGAAGTCCAGTTCTGCTGCCCCTCTTCCTGCTGATTAGCACATTGAGAAATCCCACTGAAATCAGTAACACTGAACAGTCGGGAAAGATGCAAAATGAAGGCCCAGAAAATTTGATATGAATAAATTAAAGCTGGTCAGAAAACGTCCCGGTATAAATTTAATTCATCTGAAGTCAGACCATCTCCCCAGAGGCACCAAGGCTTCCCCTTCTGCCCACGGAATGGGAAACTGAGCATGTAAGTCAGAGATGTCTGCACTGGGAGATCCACCCCAGAAGGAACAGTGGGGACGTGAGGTGTTCAAATCCTTAAGTATCACGTCATTGCAAAAGCTCAACCAAATTTTAACACCTTGACTTACAAAGGGAAAACTTCAGTCTGACAACCAAGGGAAAAAAACCCAACAAAACCCTGCATCTATTTCATTTTTTATCTGAGGAGAAAATAAAAAATGATAGATGACTTTTTTTTGACCAGCCTTAATCACCTGCTCTAGCAAGATCTGCTTCCTGTAGAACATCAGGGCTTTAGAGCTAAACAAACAAAATCCCACCTTTTAAAATCCTAAGCTCTTTAAAACTGTTGCATATGAGTGCAATAACAATTTAATTTCTTAGTTGCCCAGCTCCACGTGAAACAAGAGAACTTCGGCACCACAGCAGACCACTGAAATACTTTAACAACTGCTTTTAGATTTGGCATTTGTTAAGCAAAAGGTTTCAAATAAAAGCTTTTCTGATGGCTTTTTTTTTTCCTCCACCAGGCTTCTCCAAGAAAATCCTTTTGTTGAAGTTGCAAAGGATATTTTTTCCACATGTGCAACATACACAGGAGAGCAACTCCGGAAAACGTTCTTGAAAATACCTAGAAAGGGCACCCTTGTCCTTCCAGGTTGCCTTTTCTCTACCTGCACAGTGAAATCTATTTCAAATGATACATCCTGAAATGCAGACCTTTTATTTTTCATTCAGTAGCACATTTTATCAGGCAACCAGAAATCAAGACAGTTCTGGGGGTTTCACTCTAAAACACCTGAAAAGTATTAGGTCATCACAGATTTCTCCCACTGCTCTTGAGCTGGTTTATTCAGCAGACACAAACAAGTAGCCAGTCTCCTCAGTGACACAAAATTAAGCTGAATTCATGGAGGAATACAATTTACCACTTCAGATCAAGGAACAAACCAAAGGAATACTCTGTTATTACAAGCAGCCTGGCATGCTCAAGTTGTAGCCTCCCCTCAGGACTCTACACACTATCCCAGAACATTGTCAGATTTAATAATGCCTGTGATCGCTGTTCAGTGACCACCAGTCACACCTGCTGCTGACTAACCTGTGTCACAGGGACTCTGCTGACACCAATGCATTGTGGCAGTTCAGCTAATGAGGCAAACCTCACTTTATCAACATCAGAAGATCATTTGGGGGGTGGGGGGGAAATATGCTTGAAGCTGTCTCCCATAAGCCACATGTAAGGGCCAAAGGGGATGCACAGCCTCTGCACTGGCCCCTTCACACTGGGGTGAATTTCATGAGAAAGCATTTTGCCAGAGACACATATCACTGAGACTGGCTATTTGCTTCTGTCCTTTATTAAACTCAGCACAATAGATGAAAGGCTAGGAATAATTTTTACTCAAAAAAAAAAAAAAGGAACATAAAATACAAGCATTCTCAGCAGACAACTTGCACACCAACTTCCTAAAAAACAAACAAACAAACAAAAATCCCTGTTTTCCAAACAAACCTTCCATCATTTAAACCTTTCTCCTGCAGGGAAACACATTCCACCTAGAAACACATCCCAAAACTTTGCTGTAAACAGCCACTCAGTTTCTGCATGAGCAGAAACAAAATGTTCCATTCAAAACAGGATCTCATTTGTAGATAAACAGGTAGATAGATTTGAGGTTTAAAATGTATTTAACCAATTGGATGTTTCGTATGCCCAAAAATAAATTTATTTTTTTTTTAACTTTTCAGTTAATTGGGAAATGTGACCAGCTGCAAACAGCAAAGGTGGAAGTGAGCACTACGGTTTAATGGGGTGTTCTATCTAGCACGGGTTAATAATTCTTCTTTTCCCTGTTTTGGTTAAATGAACATTCTCTTACCATTTGTCTGGTTTGTCCGTGGTTAGGCAGACCTAACAAACAGGAAAGAGAATAGAGCTGGTAAGACCATTGCTTTTCCAAGACAGAAAAAAGTACAAAATCAAAACACACGCAGCTATGATTGCAACTGTGTTGTTTTGCTAAGGCTAGAGCTGTCTACTGAACTAACTTCTCCCATCCTAGAAAAGTGTCTGAGAAAAGAGCTTCCTTAACAACATGGTTTGAAGAGCAGAGGCCCCAAGTTACAAACACGTTCCATTCGCCCAGTCTTTTCTCCGTTAACTCTCACCTTCTTCAAACTACCACTAAAAGTACACCTCCTCTTTCAGATCCAAGGTTTTCCCCAAGTCCTGGGAAAAATCTGACGTTCTGTTTTTACTTTGAGGAATTTACTGACGTCAAGGAGGAGAAGGTGGAAGGCATTATTCACTGTCAGGACAGCAACAAACAGAATCTTTCCATCCTCCTTGGGGTCCCCTGGGAACCCCTCGGCTCAGACGTCAGCTAGAAGCTGTTAGCAAACAGAGCGTATCTGCTGAACCTACCACGAGTAAATACTTCCACAGGCGTAGCTCCATCAGCCACAGAGCACAGTGACTCCAGCTACCAAACAAAGCCCTTCCCCAGCAACACAAACAGCACCCTACAGCACCGAGCACAACAGCTTGGTCTGACGAGGTGCTTCGCTGCACTATCGGGTGCCCCGTCACACTGCCACAGTGCATGCACTGAACTGCACTTTGCAGACACGAGACCCTGCAGGACAAACAAAGGTCTGGGGGGTTAGGAGAAGGATGTGTTGCTGTAAGGCAGCATGGCATGGCACCATTTGGTTTTCTAAGATGCATGCTCTCAGGAAACAGCATTTCATTAACATCCGTGCACCAAACCACCTTTCTCATCCCCTTCTGTCTGAGAACCAACACGTCAGTACACCAAATCCAACAGGTACTACAGGACAGGCATCAGCAAATGCTGTCACTGGCTGCAGAAGGTACCACTATGAATTCTGCATTCACATTCACAGCAAGCTTCACAGCTTGACCTTTGAACCCTCCCACTGCCAGTGAGTTAAGCTGTGATGAGAGAGCAAAACTTTTCAAAGAGTCCAGCAAAAATGAACTTTCACAGCTCATGGTCCGTATTCCAACAGGTCCCCTGAGGTTCTCCTTTGTAACACCAAATATACTGTATTTGCATCAGGTATGACAGGAAACACAGGCCACAGCAGTGTATCAGGAGGGAGGAAGGCGGAACAGGGGACATTTTCTGAGCACTGGGTATCATGACACCACATTAAAATTGACAGTTTATATCAAGTGTATTTAGCATTCTGTGTAGCTGTATGCTGTCAGCTACCCCAAATGGGAAGACACATGGTTTCAGTTTTTGCTGCATTTTTGTGTTTTAAGTATCCACAGAGAAGAAGTAATTGCCAAAAAGATTTCCACCAAATCTGTAGGACAGATGTACCAGGCACCAAATTAGAAGACCAATAACAACCTTTGGATGTTGACAAAGGCAATGCAGGCGCCAGATAATCATTCCTTTTTACATGGGAGCAGCAATTGCATCCAAAACACAGCTGTGAGCAGCCGTTTGAGATGGATGGACAAAGAGCTCCACGGATGCTGGGAAACAGCACAGCCAGCAGGATGCAACCAGAATCTGTCAGCTTAAGAGCTAAGCTCCAGCACTCGTCTTTTATTTCCCCCTTCCATAACTGAAAGATAATGTTTTCTCCATTCACAGGAGCTCTGAGAGATGTAAATCAACTGATGCTAGTCCCTGGACTGAAGCCACACACTTTGTTTTAACTGCAGTCCAGATCAGTTCTTTTCTTGTACAAAGACCATCCCTGATGCCAAAAAAGACTGGGTTACAGAAGCAGCTGATACGTGGCTGCTGCGATGACTATTGCTGGATGTATGACAGACAGTAAACAGTGCTATTCCTAAGCACCACAATTAACCCAGAATATTCCATGGGGAGAAGTGAGAGATGCAAACTGAGCAAAGGCTAAGCAGAAGTGCTGCTTGCTCTGAGCCCCAAAGCTTCAGAGCCCTCAAACAGCAGAGAAGCAGTGCTAACAACGGGTACACACCTCGCTCCCAATCTGCCATTTCTAGCATAAAGCTGCCCATGACAACTTTTTGCTCCAGTAAAATAGGACACAAAACAAAGCTACAGTTTCAATACAATTTATACTCTTGGTATCACAGCAGTAAGGTATCAATTAGCATGTTAATCTTAGTGAATTAATCCGTGAATTTTCCCTTTAGTCACACTTCGATAACTGAAGTCTGAAAGAATGAAAACAGGCACTAAAAAGATCTTATTCACTTGGCAATTAAAAAAAAATTACAGTAAAAGCATATGAAGCCAAAGCACTGCTATTAAATGAGCAACTTTTATGCACCAAAGAGATGCAGAGAGACAGCACAACATCTGTAACCCATTGCAGAACAGCTGGCAAGTCAACAGGATGCATCTGTACTGGAAACAATGGATTCTCACCCAAAAGTTTTTGGTGGCTTCTGTGCGAGAGATGAAGCCTGTGAGATGCAGACACCTCTACAAACTAAACCAATCCTCTGTCTCTGGGTGAGCAGGGTACAGACAGGTAACTCACCATCTCAGACTCAGACCTGCCCCACGTGCCTGCTCCATTTTCACAGATCAAGGTTTGAGAGAGAGATGTCTCACACACATTCATCCACAAGCAGGTTAAAAGTAAGACAGCACAGGAATTTAAATCAGCAGCAGAATACAACAGTTTTGGCAGCTCCTCTCCAAGAAAAAAAACTGTCCAACTTTATTTTATGGTGGAATGTCTAGAGAAGCCATGGGGCAAAAAGTTTTGAGGCAAACCTCACCTTATCCACATCAGAAGATCATTTGGGGGGCTAAAATGATAATCTAAGGTCCAACTGCTTGAATTTACACAGCTCCACATCAGAAACAACACTGACCTCCTCCAAATGACACAGAAATACACAAACAAGAAAAGAAGCTTTTAGGATTGACCAAACCTTTAAAACCACAAAGTGTAAAGGTCTACAGTTGTGCCTGTAAGTAGGTCTTCCACTCTTTTGCGGCCAAAGAAATTGAAATATACTCTGAAAACTCCAGATTAAATGTTTGAGGGCTTTTTCCATAGCACTGAAAAGAACCCAAGGCCCCAGAAAATCTCCTGACATCCAATTCCTCCTGCCAGTCTCTGAAATAAAGAGGAAGTACCAGAGGAAAAAATGAAGACAAACTGAAGGTATAGCTGCAGAGAATCATAAATGTCCTTTGCCAAAGATGATTCTACATTGTTACTGAAATGGTAATAAAACATCTAATCCCTGTACAGAGATTAACTGACACCCTCAGAGCAGGCTTTCACTCCCCACAACTTAGTGCCAAAGACCTCAGAACTGTTCCTCAAGCATAAGCACAATCACAGAGATTTTGGCTGAAAACCAGTCCAGCAGGTTACTACGCCCTAATGATCCTTTCTTCTTGAAGTATCAAAGCTGCAGATGAATATACTTTCACCTAAGGAAGCACAGGTGGGGAAAGACTACCACAAACAGCAACACAAGTCTGCTACTACTGGGAAACTACCTCTCAGTCAACCAACCCGTTCCTTTTCTAACACTCTCCATTTCATTTGAATCTCATGCTTTCAGATTTGTTTAAAATAAAAATTCTGAATGAGAGAATACCTAAACTTCCAGCAGCAATTAGAGCACCACCCCAAGAGCACACTGAGGGAGCAGGGGATAGGTGGCACCCAACAACATCGAGTGGAGTGGTGGAATCTCATTTCCCAATGGAAAGCAAACCAGCACATCTGTTCCCACTGGTAGCCTGACACTAAACATGCTCTTTGCTGATCCAGTCCCATCCCCTGCGACTCTAGAGAGAGGACCTCAGCATCTCAGTGGCGGCATACAAAAATCACTCCCACTGTTCAGTTTCTGCCTGCTTTTTGCCAACACCACACGAAACACAACTGCCATTTTCAGAAGCAGAAGAGCCTAAACCCTCGGCAGCGTGCCCAGCACAGGCTGGAGTGCAGGGATGTTCCCATGAAGTTACTACAGCAAGTTTCAAGAAGCTGAAGCATGGACAATTTTCTGCTTGGGTAGAAACCTTCCAGTGCTTTTCCATGTGTGAACATACAACACTGTTGCTGGATATTTACAGTCCATTTCATAGTTCAACAGAAGACTGTACAAAACTGACCCAAGTACCAAGGAGGAAGAGTAGCCCAGCTTCCAGCCACTGGACACAACCCGGAGTTGTTAAATTTATATTTATGCAAAGTTACTAACTTCAGTCTTCAGAGTATCTACCACACACAAAAATATGGGTCCTTCATCAAGCAATTAGTCAGATGGCATTTTGTTTTTTACCTTCTGTTTACCAACGAGAAGTATCATGCAGAGCATGCAATATGCAGCAAGATTCATGAGTGCATCTCCAGTCACAGTGAACGTAGAGAATTTCACGTACGCTTTCACAACCAGCAACTTTACTCCCCTAAAATACATTCCTTTCAAAAATCCATACACTCTTTATATGCATGTTCCTTTTCCAAAAGGAATCCTCCTCCTGGGATTTCATCCTTCCCAGCAGTAACAAAAACATCAACAGTATCATATTTGTGAGCAAGCTAGAAAAAAAATATAAAAATTCATGCATGAATGAGGCTTGATGAACAAGGATTTCAATTCCAGGTTACTGGTTCACTTGAGGCAGTCTCAGTGTGTTGACATATACATACATACACTTTTTGCAAGCTTGCAAGAACACTTTAGCACCCCTCCCTTTCTTATAACTACCAAGAGTGTGTTATTGCTGTGAGCAGATTGAGTGTCCACCTTCTAACAATCAGAGGCTACAAACTTTCAGGAATGCAAGTGCAACAAGCAGAACAGAACATAAATTGTACCAAACACCACCTAGACTAACATTTCCTTCAAATTCTGTGGTACATAAAAACAATGTTAAATTTGCAATTTACTTACCTAAGTAAGTTCCTACCAAGATTGGCAAAGGAAAAGGAAAAAAAAGGTTTAAGGTTAAAAAAGGGAAAGATTGACGTAGTTCAGAATACAGCCCAGCCCCATGCAACAAATAGAGATATACAGACTGGTTTGGTTGTAAAGAAACACAGAAGTAATCACAGTTCTCTGTTGCACAGATAAACCCAAGACAACATTAAACACACAGTAACTCCAAATGAGAGATTTTGCAAAGAGTGGCTTTAATTTTGGATGAGTAAGTATTGGTTTGTTACCCACCTCTTTCCACTAACCCCTGCATATTAACTTCATTGGATTTGGACAGCATTTCCTAAAATGCTTGGTCTAACAGGTCTCACTAATTTACTGTAACCACCTCACAGATGTGTCTATTCACGCAAAGCTGTACCTCCTGCTACAAGTACTTCAAGGACCCTGCTAATACTTTCTGGATAGTGACAGTCAACTCCAAGAAGTCAGCAGCTACCCTTGGACAAGGATGTTGAGAATGGAGAGCTGCCATCTGTCTCACAGTTGAGCCAATCAATACTATCCACTTGCATTCCAAAAAGAGCATCATATATATCCTGCCTGGCTGTAACACACTAAGTGGTTAAAAAGAGGCAACAAAACCATGCACACCTTACTGCTTTAGGATTTGCTGATCCAAGCTATGTAAACTAGAAAGCACTGAATTATTCACTATTCTTAGAGTTAGGAGCATTATACATCATATACATACATGTGTGTGTATGTGTGTGCGTGTGTATATATATATATATATATATATGAATGATATGTGTCACATAGGTAGATTCCACTCAATTACAAATTCAGGCTTTGTACTGTCTGGGACTTTGCAATTCTGCCCTTGCACTGTTATACATTCATTTCCTCTCACATTAATTACACCTGCTCTCTACCACTGCCTTGGGATATACACTCGCCTCTCACTCAGTCAACATCTGCACCTTACTCCATCCCATTGCTCCTAGATAAAATAGTTTTTAGTAGCTGATCCATAGAGCATGATGCCCATCTGCTGATTTCATTTTCAGATCTTTATCCATAACACCAAAAGAAACTAAACACAGTATCACGGCTAAACTGAAGGCAAGAGAAAAAAATTTCACCTAACATCTGAATACAAAATCCTAAGTCAAATTCTCAAAAATAATCAGTACTTCTGACAAATAACCTAAAGCAAGGAAGTTGCACAGGCACAAGCTTTTCAAGCAACTTGCCATTCTTCCCTGCTGCTGGCAAGAAACAGTCATTCCATTAAAAAACACTGAACATTTTCTCTCTTGTTAATAGTCAGCATTACTGTGGTTTGGATATCAACAGCTAAGGCCAGGACTTTTGCCCCATACCCCCTGTATAGCACTTTTCACTAAAGGACCAATACACCCTCCTCAGCTTTGGAAGGACAACTGGGGCCACTGTTGATAAAGGCAGAATTTTGATACATTTTCTGCAAGGTCTAAGTCAGCTGGAAAAAAAACTGAGGTAATTCTGGTCCCTCACATAGCTGATGTTACAGAACTTCCCTACTTTCCCACTTCAACAGCTGGTTCTGCTCAAGAACAGTTTTTCCACTGTCATGCTCATCTCTTGATAACTGAACTAAAGCCATGCTAGGCTGATGAAAGCTTCAATTTCTAGAAGTTCATTCACGTTTCCCAAAAATGAGGTGAGAGACAATGAACCAGAATACGTTAAATTGGACTGACATTCCATTTGGGTTTAGAAATCCCCAGCAGCAGAAGCAAGGTATTCCAACAGTTAATTAACCTCATTCAAAAATCTGCAGCTTGTTTCCAGCCAAAATTTTTCTACTGTACCTTCTGGCTACTGCAGCTCATTATTAGATTCCCAGCTAGACAAAAAGCCCTCTATTATTATACTTCTGCTGCTCCTGTCAGCAGAGACAAACATCTACAACTTCCACTTTGGTAAAAGCATTTTCCATTATACAGTGTGTTTTCCAGTCCCTTCACTGTTTTCACAGCTCTTCTATAAACCCTCTCCAATTTTCAGCATTCGATCCACTACCATGTTATCAATGCGAGTTTGTTGCTGGGAAAAGCCTTCCCTTTATTCCAGCTACTCATTCATGTCCTCCCTCTTTCTGCCAATTTTAGAGTGCATGTGATGACCCTGAAAAACAAATTTGATTACATGAAAGCTAACATGGTATAAAAGAGAGGGGAGAAAAAATAAAAATCTAACAATGCTCCTTCCCTTCCCCCAGCAGGAATTTGCATAGACAAGTACCACATGGATCCCACACTGGATAGGTGTAAGGAATCAAGTAAACAGTTTCCAGAACATAAAACATCCTATCTCTCTAGGGGAAGTTTCATGGTGAAGATTGTGAGTCAAGCTCCAGAACATTAGTGAAAAAGCAATAAACTGGTAATTTTTTTAAATCTCACTGTATTTGACAGCTTAGGAGACTCCTTGTACTTTTCATGCTCCAAAAATAGGATCCTGCAGCAATTTGTCCATGCTAATCTAATGTTGAAGGAGAGCTGGGAAGGGCACTGTACACCTAGTGATGCCTCCAAGATGATTTAAAGAGGAAGAAAACAAAATAGATGAAAGGACTGCACCTTTCTTATAAAATAGAATGCAGGTAGTGAGGAGATGAGATTAAGAATATTTTCCTGCGCTTGGAATTCAGGCACCGGTCAAAACTCAAGATGCCTGGCCAGACAAATCATATTCAAAGCCTGAAAAAGTTAAGGTCTCAAGGGTTAAGCAGAGATGAGTCAGAAAAAGAAAAGTTAAAATTACTTAGCTGGAGTTACAGTAGCAAGAGAAAAAACCAAGCAATTAAACAACAAAATTCCAAAGGAAAAACCTGAAGTACTCCTTAAAATTCAGCAATTACCATGCATAAACATGGATCTTAATGATTTACACTTAGCAAAAATACAAGCTGCTACTTGGCTTATTTCCTGCAAATAAATCTCTTGATTATATATTGCTTTACAACCTGGCCATAAGGAAGCCTTACAAACTCATCACATGTCATCAGCTCAGCAAGCAGCCATAACTGACAGTGTCCATACTTCTCCTCTGATTTTGGAAGTAATAGCCCAGCACCAGAAGACTTCTATCACCAGCAAAGAGAGTTCAGCTAAAGCCCACCACAACAGCTGTCCACTGTCACCTGTCAGAGACTTTGACACAGTGACCTGTCCAAACTGTAAGGTGTCTTGCAGGTGCCACCAACACAGCACAGCAGTAGGAAGCAGAGAAAAACCTGGATAACCCATACAACATTGCAGTAGGTTAACATCTCCTTGAAAACTACTTCAACATAGGTGGATATAGTGTCTTCCTGCACCTAAATTTGTGCAGAAATAGTATTTTCAGCCTCTGTGCAGTTGTTGGAACATCAGCTTTTCTTTGCAGTACACTCCTACAGTGACCTAAGCCAGTATGTCACTGGGTATCACTAAGGGGAGAGGAGAAACATAAAAAACAACACAGAAACCCCCACAATTTCCCATAGTATCTATAGGACTCATGTAAATGCAGAATCTGATTGGTTCTACCAATTCAGTTTACCCTCATTAATCCTTTCCTTCTACTTTAGAGGTCAGCTATAATCCAAAATTCTGGATAGATGGGTTTATTTCTATCCTTTTATAGTAACTCACTCGCTGGCTCCTAAATTCCGGTCAAAAGGTTTCATTACTCTCACTGCTGTTTGCCGCTTCTTTTGAACAGTTTCAACTCGTGCTCTTCCTCTCCCTTCCTGCCAACAGCCCTCCCAGGTTAGTAAACCTATATGGTTCCATTCTCAGCACCACGATCCCACTTCTTGCACGGCACAGGGAACCAGTGTTAGCCATGCCCACCAGCCAGCAAGGCTTACCAGCTCACATGCAAGGCAACTGGGAACCTGTGCTAAGGGGCACTAACACACAAAATGGGAACAGGACAGAAAGAGATCCACCAAACTTTCACCATCTGTTTCCCTGTGCCCAGCAGATCTCGATCCAAGTTCTTTAAACTTTGTTTCTTTGCAGGTGGTTCCCTTCCTTCCCTGTCTTGGCAAAGCTTCCAGCAACCCAGGGTCAGGAAGTATTTCAGATGTCAAACTGCAGCGTGGCAAACATTCTACATTCACAAATAAATCTCAACCAACAAGTTTAAGCTGAACTGCTCACAAAAATATTCAGTTAACACTCACTCCCTCAGCAGGTAAACAGATTTTGGGACTGAACTCTACTCTCCTACCTAGCAGTTACAGAGACAAGTACTACTGCAAGTATTTCAGTGGCTGGCTGAGAACAGATTGAGCAGGTAAAGCAGCAGGTGCTCAGGGAGATCTGCACAGCTACACACATCTGCTTCAGAGAAACACGTATTCTGAGGAGCCTGAACAGGTACTCCTCCAAAATCTTTTTGCAAACTGCTTCAGCGACAGTTATGACTGAAATGTATCTAATCAAATACTTATACGAGCAGTGTTCTGTATCTTGGAACACTAAAATAAGAAACCTCCATTTCCAGAGAATCGCCTTGGGTTATTAAGTCCAGTGCTCAGTGCAGAGAGAGCCTTCCTGAGAGAAGGATCTGTTCTACTTCCCTCCTTTGGGCCTCTGAGCTTCACAAGTGCATGATCTGCTGAGCAACTCAGCAGTCCCCGTGCTGAGGAAGACATTTAGCAGGGAGCAGCCGCCATGCCCATAAGCAGGTAGTCACTGGGAGCTGTGGAAATTCAATGAGCTACTCTTCATCTACATCCCTCATTAGTGGACGAAGCTTCCAAGGAAGCAAAACTGACCAAGGCAGCAGGGCTCTGTTATTCTTCCCAAAAGACAAGTTACAAAGTACATGAAAACTCGGCAACGTGGTATCAAGGCATAAATTCCCAAAGACAGCCAGACAGTAGAACAACCACTGTCCTCACTGTTGTATTCTCCACATGCACTCATATATGCATGCATGTAAATACTGGTAACCATCCGCTGCCTCAGCCATTAATCACAAAGCTCAACATCAGGGCATGCAGTGTTGGCCAGCTCAGGGGAACAGGTAAGCTTAAGTTTTTGTGTTTGCCTGTCTCACAATGACACTTGTTTAGCCTAACTATTCAAAATGGGTTTGTTCCATTGAAGTTGGTAAAGTGACATCACGTATACATTTCCTGCATTATCACGAATGAAAGCTTCTGAGGTCTGTTCAGTACTCAGAACAGATTAATTTTTAAGCAGTGGAAACTTTGAAAATAATCTTCTACTGCCAGCAGAGAAGAGAGTCTCTCACCAGTGAGACTGTCCACTCTCAGTGGAAAATACAGAGACTTTGAGACTTGATGTAAATACTGTCTTCTATTTCTTTTGGTCAGAGTGAATTCGAAGTAGTTCGAGATCCGTGAAACTTTGTTTTCTTAAAAGTCAGTGAAACAACACCTACTTTCAAACCAACCATCACAGCTGCCAGCAGTTTCACAGAACTGCTAGAAGACTGCTCTGTCAACTGGAGGAATTAGTAATCAATTATGAATACAGGATTTTGCATCTTCAGTAGGGTTGTACGACTTGTCGCCTGCATGTGAAAAGCCTGAAAGGTGAACAGCATAACCATGGGTGGAAGTGGTTACCCAAGGAACACTTAGACATCAACACAGAAGGTGCACACAGACTCATTAGCCACAAAGCACAGACAAGCCAGCAGATGAAACTAAAAATCACTCTCCTAGCATAAGCTGAGCGCAGCTTCAAGGTCTTACCCCTGCTAGGCATCAACAGGCGCTTCTTCATGTTGCCTGATAGAGCACAAGTGAACAGAAAAGAGAAAAACATCACATCAGCAACCTGAACAGCAGCAGTTTTAAAAGTTCTTAATGTTAAAACACAATCAGATATCAAATGTTTGTAATTATATTTCAGATAAGCTACATATAAAGTTAAAATTAAAGGTAAAAATGAGAAAAACTCTCTAGCTCTCCCTCCCTGTTGAGTCACTTGCTCCAAGGCAGGAACAAGTTTATGCCATGCCAGATCTGGCTCCTCTGCCTCCTTCAGCTAAGCAGCAGCCTGCCTTTATTGTGGCCATGCAGCCCCTGGTAGCTTTGCTGAAAGCCAGGTGACCCACACATTAGAAAGCCACCTGGGAACTGCATAGCTACTACCTACAGGTTAAAAAGCTGTAAACCTCAAAAGAAAAAGGAAACATCACTGGAAAAAGCTATTAAGCTATTCTTTGTACTACTAACTTAAAAACTCAAGTTTCTCCTTCACTATCCCAGTTGCAAGATTGGCCAAGCCAGGCAGAGTTCCAGTAGCACAGCAACTTTTGTGTGCATGCACCTCCCAGGCAGTCCACATCATGTGTCTCACCCAGAAGGAGAAGTGGGACAGGCGATTTGTACAACAGGAAAAAATAGCCTCCCTCAAGAATAAGAAACTTGGAATTTATATAAAGGACTGTGGGTTTACATCATCTCTTTGTATACCGAAAGGACAGAAGGAAAAGCCTATACAGACAATATACATTTTGTGGAAAAATATTTACCATCCATTCCATTGTGTTGTTCGTAACTTCTTTTTCCCAGGATAGTTGGGGACCCATTGTTAATGACAGGCGTAAACTTAGCAGGAGTCAAATTGTTGAGAGAACTGGACAAGCTCTTTGCAGGATCTGGTTTCGGAGGACATGGATGAGACTCTGTTGAAAAAGAGCAAAGTGGTATTTTTTTATTAGCAAAGATACTGGAATTATAAATCTGAAAACACCCTGCAAACTTCCAAGGTGACCAAGTATACCTCCCTTTATATTCAAGTGATTTCAGTCAATAATTTTGACTTGCATTTGCTACTGATACAAAGCATATACATATATTTAGAAATTCACCGCTACTGAAGATGTTAAAATCAATGTCATTATATCATCCTAAAATAAGATTTGATAACAAAAGCACTTTGTATCTATTTCCATAATACTGTTCTCTGACAACATGGAGTGATTTTGGGGGTGCTGTATATTAAAAGCCAACTTTGGACAGTCATGAAACACTCCTTAACCCTGGGGAAATTACAACTTTGCCAGTTTTGCAAGGTTTATAAAAAATAAAATTTCCTAACTAGCCAAACAAGTGAGGATTCGAAGACCCACTATAAAGAACCCATGGAGTATGAATTTAAGCTTTGGACCAAGGCAGAGATGAAGCACACGCTCTTCAACTGAAAAGATTTTGAGAAAGTTACCAGCAGCAGTAAATGGGATCTTCAACTGAGTTTTTTCTCTTACAGGCCCAACAGCAGAGTAACATATAACTTCAAGCCCACTAAGCACAACATCTCCAAAAATACATTCTTGCCAGTCCACAAGCATCCCTCCATTTCTTACCAGTCCATCAGCCTCCTTCCATTTCTATCATTACCTCAATAATCCAATGGAGACCCTGACACAGTGCAATGAAAACTCAAAATCTACTGCTACATTCTGTACAACTATTAAAAGAACAATTTTATCCAACAGCAAACTTCTCCCTTTACTGGCTTTCTTTTGCTGCACTGCAAGTATCCAAGGGTTCCTCAATCTGTGTATCCCATTAGTTTACAGCAGAAGTACAACACTCAACAGAGAAGCAGTAAATATTTAATACACCCTCAGCCTTACAATATTGCATAAACAAAAATGTTCAAAGAAACCTAAAATCAGCTCCAGTGTTGCTTATCTAAATAAGAAGGCAATCAATTTCCTTGCTAGGCCGGGAGCCTTCAAAGAGCCCCCCTCCAAGCCGGCTTTCTGCGGTTAGACTCGCGTTTGGCTGCTGGAACAACCCGGGAAATGTCTGCAGGGTATCAACAGCAACCGGCAACACCAGGGAACACGATTCTGCATTCATCTGGAGTCAGCACTGCCATGTCACGTAGCATCACTCTAGATGCTTCCAGCACCTAAAACTTACACCCAAGTCCTGGAGGGAGATATTCAGTACTCTCCCACAGATCAGCCGATGAGGCCCAAGTCCTCTACAAAATTGTAATTAAAATAATAATAATAATAAAAAAAATTCCAAAAAACAAGGGGAAAGTAAAGAATGGACATATAGTCCCCTTGTCTAGTTTCAGAACAGAACAGCCAGCAACTGAGTCACAAGCTGTGGGACACAGTGCTGTTCTAAATCCAAGAGGCTTCTTGGAGGACCCAACTGTATGAACTGCCTCCAGACAGCCCAAAAATTGGAAAAGTGGACAACCAAATATTCCCAAAATATTACGTTTGTGCCTCTGTTAGCAGCTGGTAGTTTGTACCCAGATACAACAGAAGCCACAGCAAACACATCCCTCCCTTCACATGAAAAAGTTTCTGATACAGGTCGATGAGCCCGGAGTGGAGTGTGGAGCCACTAGGTCTGTCAGATTAAGTAGGAAAAGGAAAAAGGACAAGTTATTGGGAAGGTTTTCATGTTTGGTTTTGTTTGGGGGATTTTTTTTGTTGGGCTTTTTTTAGTCCAGAATGAGCATCTAAATTTAGAACCAAATGGAAGAACCAGATGGTCAGCAGAATTGCCAGGAGGGTGTTTTCTATGGCTGGGGGCTTTTGCATTTGGTGGTGTTTGTTTTTTTTAATACCTAAATACCGGAGTACTGCTTCTAAAGGCTTTCGAACCACTTGCTTTAATAGCAATGGGTTTTCTGATGCCTCAGGTAAACGTGCTGTGCCTGTAAAACACAGAAAAATAATTAGAGGGTAAAGACATTTAGATACCAGAGCAAAACTAAATTAATAACTCCAGTGTCCTGAAAAAGCTCTCCCATTAAAAGAAATTTTACAGGTGGCAAGCATGTCTTGGCAACATGACACAAATGCAGGAGAACAACTCGATGTAACAGCAAACATGAATAAATTAAAACAGATAATTATATGAATTTTCAAAGTTATTTGCCTAGCCCACAATCAGTTAGAAGGCTTTGCAAATATAGCTAGATTTTGTGAAACCACTAGCTACATGCAAGAGAGCATCTCAACAAGCTGCAACTTGAACTTTACAGGAAAGGAGCCTCAAAGAGCTCCTTTGCAAGGAGGTCCCAGCTGCAGCACCACTCACATTCTGCTTTGATTGCTGCACTGTTAATAGGCAGATAGGGATGTCTTGCAGCATGCCAAGGGCGCAAGATATCTCGACATAAACGTCTGGCAATTCTTGTCAGTTTTGTTGTATGGAGATAGAAAGCTTGTCGTGTCTTCATAGCAAACTTGGGACTCCCACTGTTTCGTACTGGCACACCGTGAGGACTCTAAAGAGAAAGCAAAATAAAAACTGTTTCTAAAAAAATAATCAGAAAGTATGGTTTTAAAGAAGAGAAAGAATAGCATATAAAATCACTTTCAACTACTGACTCTCAGACATGAAAACAGAAATGGTATCGCAGATAAAAATACTTTCAGCCCAGCTATTCCCCATTTCCCAAATCTTATCGAAAAATATCTCAAAGGATAAAATGAAGGTAAACCTTTTCACTTCACAGGGAGGTATTTATTTCTGTCCCAAGTTTTAAGGCAGGGACCCAAAGAAGTTACCTGGTGCTATCACATGATGTAGTGTTTATAGAGACAACAGAAAGACTCTGCAACTTTGGGTGCTTAGGGTTGCTCTGGATGCACAATGCAAGCTCCTTATAACAAAACTTTTGTAAGGAGAAGAAAATCAGGAAGGGCTGCGTGATGAAAATATACACCACAAACTCGCTTCCCAAAGCAAACATACTGCATGCAGGAAAGGTTTTGGCTCAAAATTACAAGAATTATTTTTAATTCTTAACTCTGAACTCAACAAATGCACTCACAGATGTCAAATATTGGCTGCACGTAATAAAGAATACTACTGGAAGACACTTAGCAACTACAGAGAGCCTAAGCAGTATATTCTTCATGAAAAGCAACTAAATCAACCAAAAAAATAATGCAAGTAGTACCTTGTTATCTCAAACCTATCCCACAGATGGAAAACAGGAAGAAATTTCAGTTTGGGGAGATCAAGGCTTTCCCCTCTCTGACTATTTACATATTTTTTAATTAACAAACAAGAAGCATAAGGCTGATAAAATCTGGCAGTTATCTCAGCAATTAGGAGAAGCCTGGAAAGGACAGAGGTTAAACTGAAGAAATGGAAAGGGAATGATAGCAAAGAAAAGGAGAAAGGAAAGAAATTAACCTAAACCCAAAGTTCAGTGTGCACTGTCCTCCTGTCCATGTGATGCAGCTACTTTTTCCAATCAGCCCAATATCTGATGCTTCCAGATTGAACTTATACAAATTCAAAGAAAAATCCAAGAATTCTGATTTTCAAATAAAAGAGGAAAAATGAAACAGAAGCAGCTCATACAATGCTTACTCAAACCTACCCAAAAAGGATTATTAAAAAAACCAGGCTGAAACAGAAAAACAAGATAAGGGATCTCTTAAAAAGCCACTAGCTATTTGGGGTATCTAATTTTGAATGTGCCTTGGGAAAGCAAACAGCTTTCAGGAAATAATTAATTCCTTTTTGGGATTTAAAAAAAAAAAGTCCTCTTCCCCCTACAGCAAAAATCATGGAAACCAAATACCAGAAACACTGGCTGGCATTTCAGTTTTTCCCCATCTCCATTAAGTCATCCCATGCATTTGATGGCTAGTTTGCTAAACAAATGATGTTGTGTTTGTTTTTTTTTTCTCAGGGTAGTACTTGGCAACAAATTACTTCTAGCTGAAGCGAACGTGCCAACTTCTGCAAGACACGAAATACCAAACCCAAGGACAACAATGGAGGCTGAAGGCATTCTTTGGGCTGTTAAATATTTAAGAACAGTGTACAGCTAGTTAGATACCATGACACCCAGCTTTCCAGGTGAGAGCACCAGCCTGCTTTGTGGGTACCTACCAAATTATTGCGGTTTGGTCCTGGTCTCTCCCCATCTAACCGTGTTGGCATTTTCAAGCCACCGTATTTCTTCCAGTAGGTCCAACAGGATGCACAGAGGCGACACTGCATGTTAGGGGGACCCCAAGAATACCACTGGTAAGACTGGGTGGCTAGAGATAACAAAGGTGGAAATTATATATATCCTTACACAGGATCACTTTTCAGAGCTTATTCTCTTTAGAATCATCACAAAAGAAAACCCACACACAGACAGAGCAAAGCTCAAACAGACTTTAAAAAACTGATAATGGCTTCACTGTCATCACCACTGTTAAATATACTTGTGATTTCAGCAGAATCAATTACATTAATTAATCTAAACCCCTTTTAAAACATAAACAGAAAAAAACCAACTATTAGAATGGGAAAACTTCCTGCCAATGGAACTGAAGGCTCTCATTTTGGAGGACTGGTAGACAACATCTGCAGAGCATAGCAGAGAGGGAGGATTGTCTGCAGGAACTCCCCATACATTAATTTTACAGCTAAAGAAAGTTCAGAATCTGTGACTTGACTTCTCATACAGTCTTACATTCCAGCTCCCCGTAAAGAAACACAATCATTAGAACTCTATATATTAATATCAGGCAGCAGTCCAAATATAGGAGTATCACATATTTTGAAATCTACTAAAAAATGATGAAAAAATTATCAAATTCACACCTTGGTAATGTAAGTATTCACTCAGTAGTTACCCACAACTATGTAGAACATTTACTAACTCCCCCTTTCATACTTTATAATTCTATTTACAAATATAACACCAGTAAGGAAAAAACCAACCAAACGAATGAAAACAGCACCCCGAAAAACCCAACAAAAGCAGATTTGCCTAAAAGCTGCTATATTCAATTCTGCCCCCACACCCTTGCAAAGCCTTGTCTGCCACCCCCACCACAACACAGCTGTTACTTTAAGGTTTACAACACAGCACTCACTCTGCACACACAGCTGCCACGCTGGCACTGCACTTACTGTAACAGCTCTCACAGGCCCGTCCTGCTCCTGTGTTCTGTGTCTGGACTCCAGTACCATTTACCACTCCTGGTTTGACATTATTTACATTGATCTGGTTGGGGTTTGGCTTGTTACTTAAAACACAAAGCAAAAAGAAGGACAAGCATTAATTGAGGCATGTGATTTCTTACCTGGCTTTCGAAAGTATGGCCCAAAATGTTTGAAGATTTAAATTTCATTCGACACGTGGTTTCCGGAACCAGCTGTACTTACCAGTAACCTGACTTCCATGAACACACTCTCTCCAATAATATTTAAATAACATCAGTAATGAAAATAATGATAATTGGATGCCATTTAGAAGAGTTCAAAACCTTTCAGAAAACAATAAATCAGTGAGGACAGGTAGGTATCTTATTAACTATCCCAGACATCCAAATCTAGGTGAAAAAAAGATCTCACCTACAGGTTCTTAACATGAGGGATATTTTACTTAAACCTCCAAAAAGAAGGCTGGGGACTGGAGCAGGAAATGTAGACAGAGAAAAGAGCAACCTCTGCTTTATTCAGGGGAATATAACCCTAAACTGCAGTCACAAATATTTCCATTTGTCTTACTGCAAAGGTTTGCATCATGTGGCCACAATTCCCACAAGTACATCCAACACATTATAACAACATCTGAATCACCTCACCTCATCCCTATACCCTCTTTAAAACGCTGATTTCAGGAAAAGAGGGGGGGGGGGAAATCCTACTAGCAGGAGCTGAGAATGGAAGGGGAAACAAAACCTTGGCACAGAGAGTAATATGGAATGGTACAGAATCTCTGCAGAGGAAGAGGTATCTGAGGCAGAAAATGAGACATTAAAAAAAATCCTTGGCATGGGTGGGAACGAGAAGGACAGAGTATCAATATTGCACCGACAGGACTTCTGGGGAATGGAGGAAGATGGAAGAAGTCACACACAAAGTTTCAGACAAGAATACACAAGGAGTTATCAAATATGCAAGGACTCCTGGGTGCTGTTAGGACTTCACATTATAGAAGCAACAAAGAGCAGGCTGGCTTTGGAGCCAACTGCTGAACACAACCCCGAACTGCACTGCTGATTACACTTCCCTCATATTCTTTTACCTGAAGACTGCAGGGAGTGGGTATATTCCTTTTATTTCCAAGTAATAAATTCTGTGATTTGGAATCTGTTTATTCAAGCAGAAGTATCTTTAAATGGCTTTCTAAAAACCCATTTTCTTACACATTAGTTGCACACTGACACAGAAGTCCCAGTGATTTTAGTGACCCAACATATTTATTACGCTTCAGCCTGGCTACTGCTGCAAAAACAGCATTGTGGGAATACAGCCAAAATAATTTCTTTCTAATGGGGTATCAGTATTAGGTTTCACGTTCTCAGTAATGACCCCTGAAAGCAAAGGAGTTCCAAGTGCTATAATTCTGAAGACAACCGTCCCTCCCAGCTCCAGAACAAACCCAAATGCCGCTGGAAAGCTGACACTGCCCTGGAAGCCAGAAGGTCACCCTTCTTATCAGAAAATGTCAAATCAGGTCCTGAGATACACAGCTCAGGAAAGCTCCATTTCTATAGAGACAAAATAGGTTCTGCTGTGAATGAACTACAGGAACCACACACATGTTGTGTAAGGAGGCACGAGAGTGTTTGTCCAGTCGAGGAAAAACTTCTGACAGTGTTCTCACTGTAAAGCTCAGGGCCTTTCTGCAGCAGAGAAAGCTCAGGAGGCCAAGTGGCACAGGAACACTGTAAGTAGTTGTTGCTGCAGTACATTGAGCAGCACATACACAGCCCAAAAGCAGCACAGGAGGTGAAGAAAAAGGCATTCAGATTAATTAACAAGCTTGATAAGGTTTTCATCTCCCTTTGCTTATTAATTCACCCAGCTCTTACAAAGATTAAAGTGTTTCAGAGTGCTTATCAGAATGCCACGAAGTTCTGACACCACAGATGGCAGGAGATCTGCAGGCACGTTTAACAAAGGGGCAGTTGAAAGAGGGTACATTCACACACTACTTTGCTCTGGGATGTCACTATAGTAACCTGCAGCAAAAGAACTTTTGCCAATGATTCACTAGCAAACTCCATGTGCAAACATTACAAAAGACACTGCAAAACAAACAGCCCTCACAGATGAACACTGTTACAAGTGGCATTGCTTGACAGAGCAGAAGACTGAAGTAAAGAAAATTAAAGCTTTATGGCTTAACATCAGGCATGTTGCTTCCCTTCTAAACCTTGGATTTATCCTCCAAAAAGGCAGTAAAAGAGTCTGAAATCCATCAGTAAATCCCAACAAAGCACATTCAAAGAACAGAGATCAGAAAGGAGGGTGATGGCCTGACTCCACTGTCCTCTCTACGACCATTATCAAGCTTGTATTTAAACACAAGTGGAAGGGATGCCCAGGTGAAAGCCGATCACCAAACCATCCTGATCAGCAGGACTAACACGCTATAGTTGTGCCAAACTTCAGGATTTTGAAACACTACAATTAATGAAGATGCAGCAAGCACCAGAAACTGTCCTGCTCCAAAGCTAAGGTCAAGTTTCAAAGTGGCAGTAATAATAAAATTCAGGAAGATAATGTTTTCATCATATGAGAAGCAAAAAGCTCGTAATTGTTGACGATATGTTAATTAAACTTGCTTGATATAACCAAAGCCTGCTACAGCTATTAACAAGAGAATCGAATGAGTAAGAGGATGAATCATTAAGCAATTAATGAAGCTGAAGAGAAAGATGCAAATAAGGTAGTGAGAATACTGATGGTGTGGCAAACTACCACTTCTAGTTCTTGTATCAGGAATGGAACTCTTAAAGAGGTTTCAGTTGTGAAGGAGCAGTGAGTTGTGCTAGAACTGGGACCACGAAATGCAGACTTCTGGGCTGTATTCTGCAGAAGATCAGTCTCAACTGAAGAGATTAAGGTAATAAAGCACATGCAGAAAGAAGGCACTGGAAGCCTGTCAACATGAACTGAAGCCCCTGCCCCAAAAAACCCAACCTGAAGATAATCCTGAACCCCATAGGAGACTGAAATCACTTCACTAGATGACTGGCTAGCATTTGACCCACAGCACGGTGATAAAACTTTTGTTGTTAGAAATAATTATAAACTTAATACCACCTAATGAATGTTTCCTGTTATTAAAGGAATCATCTGTGCTAAATGCACCAGAACAATTAAGAAATAAAGCCTCAGTAATAAAAACAATTCAAAATCCTTTGTGAGGCACATTTATGCCATTTACCTCTAGGTAAATGTAATTGTCTGGATTCCTTATCCAGGCAACAGAGAGGTGAGCTCTTCTCACAACTCTCCAGGCTCCTGGAAATACCCACTTCTAAGAACAGGTCTAATGACCCCTATAAACAATGCTTTTTGAAGAGGAGCTTTCTCCAACAAAATGTTGAGGATCGCCATTTTAACTAGCACAGCTCAGAAGAAAGAGCGGTGTTACACCTTTAAGTTTTCCATGCTGCAATAGACCTCTGCACAATGAAACAGGGAAGAAAAAAAAAGTCTTGCTCCTCCAGCAGAGGACAACCAAGAAACAAAGCATTATCTTCTCTGAACTATTCCTCCAGTTTCCCTATTGGCTTCACAAAAGGGGCACAGCAGGGAGAACAGTATTTCCCTGCTTCACATGTCTTTGCGAGGCAGCGTTTGCAGCTTGTCAAAGCGCTTCGAGATTCTCAGATAAAATACTGTAAATAGAATGTATTAATTTACATTTACAGATGTACAGCTAAAATTCATGTTTTACATCAATACATTTTGGAGACTAAAGATTGTATGGAGCAGTTCATTCTTCCCTTTCTGTTCTTAGCCCTTCTGATATCACTTAGATCAAAGCAAAAGAGAGAAAAGCCACAAAAAATTGGATGTCTCAGCCTCCATGACTTCAGACGTCCTAATCCCAAAAAGCACCAGCTACACAACCAGAGTGTCATCAAAAAGAAGCAAGTACATAGGATGCCTGTAAGATTAGTAAAACCAGAATATGACTTCCACAACAGCCTGAAGGGTATGTTTGGGTACACACTAGAAGGAGAAAGAGACTGAGACTACACCTGCATGAAGAAAGGTCTCCAAGCCCTGCATTCACATTGGAGGGTGGCAGAATGAGGCATGTGAGAAGGTGGAATCTCTTTGTGCATTCAGGCTGCCGCTGCTGCTTTAACACCACTCCCACTGACAGAGACAGTGCTACAGAAAACAACTAAACCATTTTTTTCAGTAATTCCTAAATGCAGAACTTAACTGGTTTTATACTTTTTCCTTTCATCAGGAAAGCACATTAGTGCTTTTCAACCAAAGGGCTGCACCACAAAGCCGTATACACAGACATTTGGTTCAGTCACGTCAACTACAAATGCCTGTCCCAAAACCAGGGTTATTCTTGGAAGAGGCACATAAATGTTTGTCCAATCTAGGACAGAAGTGTTTTTTCTAAGATGTTGGTTTAGGACTTGATAACCTCACATCAATTACCTGTATGACTCTCCACGCTTCAGTTACCTGCATTAATAAATTTGGGGCACAGCCTCAAGTTAAAAAATACCAACTCTAATGCTTCACACAGAGCTGTTGTTTTTCATTGTGTAACATGTATGTGACCCTTGAAGGCAGCTTCTATTCTCTTTCTTATTATTTTCCTCCTCTCTCCTACATTTTCTTATTAACATCGGAACAATAGTCCTATCAATGGAAGACAGCCAGAGACAAAAAAAAAAGATAAAACAGTTTAAATCTGATATCCTTTGGGGTCTCTCCCTGCCAACAATTCTACACCAGCTACTGCTGGAATAGGTTTCAGTCAATCAGCTGATTTGCTTCTGCATAGGTCTTGTGACAGCCTACATCAAGTAATTTATTTTTGGGGTGACAAGTGAATCATTATGGTTCAAGCCTTGAAACAGGAATGGGCTCAGTAACACGATAAGGACAAATCAATAACATTGATATTTAGATCCCTACACCGTGTATTGCTATTACAAGCCAAGAAAATAATCTTCTTCTAGGTATGCATGCACTACCTATGTGCCAGACCTCGTACTGAAACTTGAGTAGAAATAATCCAAAAGCTTAGAAATACTTAATTGTTGCCACATTTAGAGGTATTAACAGCAAAAAAGCAGCAGAAACATTCATGCAGCATTTAATAAATCACATACACAACTGCTACTTTTCCTGATAGGCGTGAAAGGAGATTGAAGGAGGAGGAAAATCTGATTCCCATTTCATCAATTAAACAATATGTAAGTTAAGGTATAACTTTCACAGAATCAACCACGACTGGAAATCAGAGCCAGAGACAAAAAGAGCCAGAGGCATGGGTAGAGACAGAAATCTTTTCCAGAAGCAGGGAGGTAAGTTGCTGATTTTATTGTATTCTCTAGATAGGAACAACAATTACCTTGCTGAGGTACACTGCTGAGGGATAAGACACCACTCCAGACAGCCATTATTGAATGAGCACCACAACCTTTCAAACACAAAGCCCTACCTACATACGTTATAATCCAAGAGCAGCAGCAGGACTACCAGGCTCTCTTGTCTGCAATATCCTTTTGCATCTGCAGTCTAAATTACACTGCCTTTTGCTTTACGAGCTTATCACATTGTGAATTCATGTTTAATTCGAGGTCCAGTGTCCCTCTGCAGAGTAAGAGCATCCACAGAAAGCAGTACTGTTGAGAAACTGCATGACAAGAAATCTATTTGGCTTCACTCTGAATATTACACCTCATTTTTAGAAAATTCACCTGAGAGATATTGACATATTTCAAAGCAAAAAAGAAACCCTCTATTTTCAGAAGAAAAAAGGGACTGTCTTGCAAGTTAAATATATAAAAATTAGTTTTGTCTAAAGTAGCAGAACAGACGGCAGAAGTTCATAAATATTTAAAAGGAGATGGCATAAAAGAGTAAAGGAGTTATTGGGGATAATACACAGGGGAACATAGCTGGGAGTGAAAGTTGAAAAGAGAAAGGGCAGAGCAGACTAGAAGTTCTGCATTATAGCAACTGTTGATTGGCTATGCAGAGGAAATGCAATAGAAAACATTTTATTAAGATTTTTGTTTTAAAATGCATATACCTGCATTATATATTAAGAATAATATGTCATTATATACAATATATACTCTGTATAGTATATATTTTAATATATTATTTTTTACAGAGAGAGAAATTTGTATATAAAAAAAAATTACATTAGAGAACAACCATGCATTGGTGATCCACTGCTGACAAGAACTAAGAAAAACAGAAGTTACTGAGCAGTTAATTAGCTACCCTTTTGTTCGTGACCGTGACCTTGCCAGCAAGCCCGCAGCTCCTAGCCCATATAAAAATAAAAAATTAGAAGTTAAGTAACGGTCACTTCAAGATGGGAATGTTACACAGGATGAAAGAAGTGAGCAACATGACAGCACAACATCCTAAGCAGGAAAGCCCCACTGGGAAAGTCCTCTGCTGCCCATGGAGGACATACCCTGTGTCCCACAGTGGAAGGTCAGCATGTGGAACCAGCCTCAACACTCATAAGCAGCAGTGCAAGCACAGAGGGAGGAGCTGCTTTGTTCCAGCCAGCTCTGAAATACCAAGGCTATTGTGTTTTCTTCCACAGGGCACCTAGTTTATCAGTATCAGAGTGGCCAGCATTAACTTAGCAAAAATATAAAGGAATTCAAGCATCAGCTGAAGGTTGGTTATACTGGTATCCTAATTTAATAGTTCTCTGACATGTTTGTTCAACTATGTCCCTCTTATGCAAATAAAGCAAATATACAATACTGGCAGGCCATGGAAACTGCTACACCAGTCCCTCTACAATGAGATAGGAAACAAAACAATACAAAGAGATACTTACTAGTTGGGTATATACACTTGTTTTAGCTTGCTTTCTGCTTCTGCTGCTTTCAATCGTTTCTTTACATAGAAAGAATAGAAAAAAGAAAACAGTTAGAATTAAAAAAAAATAAAATAAAAGCTATTTTACCCGAGAGTCAAGTAATACACTTATAAAAATTTTAGCAGTTCTTATGACATTTACCTTTTACTGAGCAGCTACCACTAAACCTTTTTCCAACAAGAAAATATCCACCCAAGATAATCGTGGGCATCAAATAACTATGTACACAGCTTTTCAAAAAAGTCAGAGATGCCAAGCTACTATTAATAAGGACAAACTTTTCATTCGCATTCACTTCAACACAAATTGTTCCCCCCACAACCGTTTTTTCAACTTTTTATTTCCCCTGCAGAGGAAGATCTGACACATCAGTGTGTTGATTCTCCATGATAACATTCAGTAACTGGACAGTAACAGATATAGCAATGCACCCTCTCCATCACAGTTCCTGAACAGGTGCAGCAATTCAAAGAGTTTCAAGGAAGACTTTTGTGTTGATACCCCTGAACTTCTGAGGCCTAACTGACACAGAAGATTTTATTTAAGCACTAAGAAGGCCAGGAGCTTCAAACCTTCACCATTTAAAACGTAAGAGAGACACTGAGGTTCAAGCTTGCTCTTTATTACATCTGCAAAATAAATTTAGGGTGAGCCTCTGAAGGTTTCTAGTCCAACCCTCTGTTCAAAGCTGGTAACAGTGGCCTGCATAAAGCCACAACATTTTCCAGGCAAACAAGCAGCATTGTGATATTCCAGACAAACAGGTTAGCTTAGCATTTGCTAAGCAGCAGCCTCAAGGCACAGTCTAGGAAAATAATTGTAAAGCTGAAGTCAGTATCTTCATAGAAGCAGGAAGTGCCAGAAAATGTAATAACATTGAAGAGTGTGTCACTGAGGAAATGGACAAACATAAAAATCCTTTTTACAGGGACACCTTGGACACACATAAAAATGATGAAGTAAATGTTTTCTGTGAGCATAAAGCTTTGATCAGGACAGTTTTGAACAACAGTTTTTCCATTTGATAGTCTGACAGCTCCTCACCAAAGCTCTCCAGGCTCCTAAAGAATTCCCCTCTTCCCTTTTCCTGCAAATAATAGTCGACCTATCTTAGAAATCAAAGAATTAAGTTGTCAGACAACAGAGCAAGGACCGAGAAAACAGAACTTCTGAAAGTTTTCCTGGGACTACGAGTACACCTTCAGAGAGCTGCACTCTCTCTGGCTGACTCCCTTCTGCTGGTGTAGGCCAGTTTCCAAGATTGCTTCTGTTAAACCTCATCTAGGACAGGAACTGCTGCCTGAAAACTGGCCTCAAGAAAACCCTAATGAAGACTGTGGAGGCAGTCCTTATCAATCCTACAGACTTGGAGGAACCAACAAGAAATGTTTTGCTGGCAATCAGTAATGGAACTAAAGAGTTCTCCCTTTGAATACAAACTACAAATTCAAGTTGAACGTTTTCAAGCTACCCTACCTGAGCATTTTTATGTAAGAAACAAAAGCACCCCAACGAGAGGCCTCAAAAACTGCTGTGATAATGGTTCTCCAAACAGCATCAGAAATCCTCCTCTACCTTCCAGAGGTACAGGAGGCACTACACAAAAAACCCCATCCTTTAACAAAACATATACTCAGGTGCCTTTCTGCTCAGGAACTGGGGGTTGTTCCACCCACAGCCTCAACTGAAAAGGAGGACTTGATGCTCCAGGCACAGACTGCTGTGGGCAGTTACATTAGGAGATGAACAGCCATAGAGCTCATAGTCTCCCCAGGAAATACATGGAAACCCAACATCAGATACTGATTAACAGTTTAAAATATTGCTTGGTGAACAGTACAAGAAACCAATTTCCTTGAGACCTAAGCAAGAAATTCAGAAAACTTACACTAGCGGAGAACTGCTGATTTTTTCAATTTCTAGACTGTGAGAGGGAAAAGCTGCCGTTTTCTTGACATCATCTCCCATTATGTTAAGACAGTGTTGGAAATACATGAATGCAAGAGCTTCACCCAAGCATGCAGCATTATCAGCAGCTGAAATATTCTACTGTCCACAATGTAAAGTCATTTGCCTTGGGGACATGGTTAATTCAGAGTATTAAGCAGCACTCTCGTAGTAAACAGGTGATGAATGCTAACCTCATACCACAGATTTCCTTTGTTACTGATGACCCTGGCATGAGCTCTGAGCTAACAACTGCCATAGATCACTGGACCTTCCAATACCCTCCTCTCCTGCAGCTGCCTGGGGATCAGCACAGTGTACAACATGAAGCATACACCCTTACTACAAATAGTATACAAGGAAAATTGAAGGTTTCCAGAAGGTACCACAATGTCCTGGATAAGAAGAGGTTTTGCACTAAGTACCTGCAGCTGTAGGCAATCGATAGACCAGATATGATGAGTTTCCTATTTCCTGACAGTGGCCAATTCCAGAAGGTACAAAAGAAGGGGGCCTGAGATGCAGTCATGCACAATTTCAGAATGATCCCTTCCCTGAGAGAGTGCTTTGCTAGGTCCTTTGCCAGTTATTAATTGATCTGTGCCTGAAGCATATTTACACTATAAATTCTTAATGCTGTCTGATGTAGTTATGAATGTCCTCACCCACAGGAAAAACCCTAAACATTTGTAACTTTTTCTAGTAGTTTGGCCTAAAATAAATCTTTTCTCTTTCAGTTATTTATATACACACATCTTAAGAGGATATACTTATTTACCTCATCATATTTTCCCCATCTATAAAAGGAAGATATTACCAACTTGTCTATCCCCTGGGGACCAAGGGATTAAAGTACTAAGCACTGTACATTCAAGTTGGTGCAAACATCTGTCCTTTATATATCCTCTCTCTAGATTTGATATCTTTCACTCTATCCACTGGGCTTGAAAGAGTTTTATAACACATGACGTATAAGAGCAAATGTTTGTGGTCCTTTTCTAAAGAGTGAACCATTTATAAAGAGGAAATAACAGAAGAAAACCAGGAACGTTGGGGATACTTCAACATTCACAATGCAAGAGTTGGGGTGGTAGACAGCACAGAGATGCCTCAAACATTCTCAAATATTAAACCTTTATTATTTTATGATAGGGAAAATAAATCGCATTTTCTGGATTTAGAGGAGAACTTTCACACTGCTTATTCTTTTTCAAACCTCTGAATATAAAAATATGGTATATACAAGGGCAGATGGGGAGATGGGACAGAAAAGGGAGTTAATTGGGAGAAATGTTTCCAGCTGCTTGTGCTCCACCAACACATCTCAGAACTGAGGGGTGGTACCTACAGTTTCTGGCAGTTTTGGCAAGCAAGTGACAGAGTTCCACAATACTGCAGTTTTAACAGGAGTTGTTTGGGGATAAAATATCCTACGTATGTGGAAAAACATTTCATTGATGTTATTTCTACATTGCTACACACAGGACTTTATGAAGGCTGGTACATTAAGACATCACTCACAGCCCTCAGCTAGGTACAAAGCAGGCTTGTTTCCTTAATAAAGATGTTTCCTATCTGCATCAAGACTGTCCCAGAGCTCCCTACCTCACTGAGTCAAACATAAGGGCACTTCCACTTTCTCCAGTATCTTCCCAATACTATACATACCTTAAAACCAATATTCTCTGTCTACTCCTCCTACACTTTTCTAATGGCGCTTCCACATAAGAAATAGAAGAGTGGAAACTCATAGTATTTGACCTTCCTCTTGAAGTTACTTGCTCCTCAGACACAAATAAAATGCAAGAAGTAAAGCCTTTCACTCTCAGAAAGCATATGACTAATTCCAAGTCATCTACCACCTCCATGTCAGAGTTCTTCTCAACCTAAGAAAAGTTTAACGTTTTTAAAGTTTTTAGGACTTCCCCTCATGATATGCAAAACAGTAGAAGCATTTACAAATATCTAAAAAAAAAAATAAAAAAATCACCCTGGAATTCACCACTAGGTAAGAACTCAACCTCTACACTGAAGGAAAATGTAGCCAGACATCACATCAATTCGGAAAGCTTTCAAAGCACTGAAGGAAGCCAACAAACAGCAGATAAATTGGTCAATGCCATTTCAAATCTTCCTGAGTCAGAAATATATTATCTTGTGAATTAACACAGGAAATCTGTCCCAAAAAAAGAATGCATTCAAAGGGGACCCGAGATGCTGAATCTGGAATGCACCACACTCATTTTCTTCAGAACAACTCTGAAAGGGTGTCTTTGACAGGACAGCTCTTGGGATCACTTTGGAGAGGCGTTCAGGAGCCTACATTAAACCACAAATTCTGTGTTGACATTGCAGTAGAATTACTCCTTCTAGCAGTTCTGTTCTTGGAGGGTCAGTCCTTCCCTTGAAACGACTGAACTCCTGATTATGCTGGTAATCTTCAAAAGCATGGGGTAAAATAAAAATTACTGGATCAGAGATCCAAGTGCACGCTCCAAAAGAAGTCAATTTGCACGTATCTCAATATTGTGAGTGTCCTACTCACAAGACAAGGAAGTGCTGCATTAAGCCTTTCCATCTTAGGTACACCAAGCATGAGTACACTTTATTGTTGAGTTCTCAGAACGGGCCTTCTGTTGAAGGCAACTGAAAATGTCCCTTCCTCAGGGGTAAGAAAGAGATAGATTCTACTTCAGGATTATAGCAGTGCTTTCTCATGCCAAGAAACTGTCAAGGGAAACACAGAAGGATGTAAACAGCTCCCAAGTAACTGTTGCTTTTTCATCCAAGCAGGCAATTGGTTGGTGAGAAAAATCTTTATTCCTATGTTTTGTAACTCACAGAAACAGACAGTTTAAATGGACTTTTAGTCTTCATTCAAAGATTCTACGAGAATAAGCAAGTTATCAATACTTTTATTAAAGACAATAACATACAGACTTGAAATATAATTTAATCGTCTTCTTGGAAAGAGGGAAGTGGAAGTGTAACTTGGGATACACACTTTTCATATCCTTACTTTGCATATTTTCAATATCTTATGTACACAAATGCTATTAGCCCCCAAACCATTTTGTGGTAATAGACCAAGGAAAGATTCTGCATAGATCAAACATGATGAAGAAACAGATGGAATAAGTGGCAACAGATGTGCTTTGCCAAAGACTTTGCACTCATCAAGTAGAATATAAATGTAATACACCATTATTTCAACTACAATTTCCTATGCTTTCTTTGTGGTTACATATTCATAGCCCTTTCAAGTTTTTTTATAAATGTTTCATGGTATTATTTGCTCGTACAAGCCAGGAATTTGAGATGAGGTCTTCGGCTCAGTTCAGATTTAATTGATGTGGTATCTCTGCACTGCAATTTCAACCAGTTCAGCTTACACTCACTCATACTGTCTCCTAAGTGCAGAGTCTCTAATTGGAAGTTTTCCCCAAATACCACTCCCTGGTAGACTCCGGGGCAGTACATGTAAGGTACCATATAACCATGATAGAAAACCCAGTGCACAGGAATAGAGCGAAACAGTACAAGAAAATGTAAGTTTGTTGTGGTTTTTAACTGCTGCAAGAACAAATAAAGTATTTTGCACAGTTATCCCTTCTGCAGTTTTTCTTATGTAATGACAAACTTTATGGAAGTGGAAATAGCAATGGGGAAGGAAAGACCATGCCTTCATTTCTCCAGAACCATTTTTCCCCACCAGCTTCCATCACCATCCCACTTTCCTACCTTCCTTGCCAGAAGGAAAAGTTTCAGTCAAAGAATGAACTTGGGAAAATATTGGAATGAGGATGCCATTAATAATTTTATTAAAAGTAAAGTCTTTTTTTTTGGTATCAGTTATGTTTCTTGTTTGTCCTGAGGACCCTTCTACAATTTAAACAGTGTCCTGACCAGAAAGAAAATGGTAAACAAAAAATCACGTTAAGATCAAGGTGCCCAAATATTAGCACATGGCAAACATTGGTCAATGCCTCAGGCATCTCAGGCTGAATTTCCAAGGAAGCATGTTAAGGCAAAGTATTTTCATTAACTCCAATTTTTCTGATCCTTCAAATAGATGCCTCAGCATTTTAAATTTCTCCCTTCTTTTACTTGATTTTCCTATTAAATATTGTAAGTAGTTTTCAGCAACTGACACTCTGCAAAATTTTGCATGTTGCTTCAACTGTGCTTGCTTTATTTCAGGAACCAACCAGCCTTCATATTTAAACACGTAGAGATAAAAATGATTGTAAACACCAGTCAAAGTTGATTCTCAAGTATAACGTGTCTGGGAATTTGAGCCATCAACACTTCCCAGACAAACACTTCACTTGCAGAGCTTACATGGGGGAGTCTCATGCATCAGCGTGGGTGCCTCTTGTACAGCAGCTGACCCCCCCCAAAAAAAGTCAGTGAAGTTAATGCTGACCTTGAACTCTACAGGCAGAAAGTAACTGCACTGCCTTCCTCTGCTGAATTCCAAAACAGACATTGGAAAGCTCCAAACCAACAGGGTAGCAGCAAACATGAAAACAGTGTACTCCTGCCACTGCTACCTGTTTGTATCTACAGAGCAGCTGAAGTGTTTAGTGACAGATCGTTCAGATCAGAACAGAACCCACCTAACGGAAAGGCTGAACCCCAAGAGGGAGAATAAAGCAACAAGGCTCAGTTTCACAGGCAAGAAAAGCAACTTTGGTTAGAATGGAAGAGGTGATTCTGACTCTCTTACCTGCTGAACGTATCTGTCTGTAGTTTTCCACATATAGTAATATTCTATTATGCTTGTTAAGGACTTCCATGGGAGCTAGGGACACAAAGGAAAAGCAGCAGTCATTGAAGGGAGCTGGCACACAGACTCACAAATTCACAGGATTCCTCTCACTGACAGTTTGTAGCAGAATCTTGCAACTACTAACCCTCCTCACGGAAAAAAAAATAGAAGACAAGTCAGTGTCTGAATCTCCCAAGGACATCAGATGCACATGGGACACAGGTTAAATTAAATGCCCTTTCAGAAACATAGTTTTCAGAGTAGAAGTGGAGCAGGTTACAGGTAGATCTTCATGGTGCATTGGCTCCACAGTAAACCATTCAAGAGAGGCACAGTGTGGAAGGGAGTCCACAGGCACAGACTCTCTGAGAAGGAGAGACTCAAGCAAGAGCCACAACTACAGTATCCCAGTTCCAATTTACTTGGCTTCAATGGAGCTGGCCTATTAAAAAAAAAAAAACAAACAAAAAACCACCAAAACACAAAACCAAAACAAACTACTAACAGAATCGTGCTCTGCCAGCTCTATTCTCTGCATGAGAAGCACGAGGATTTCAGCAGGACCACAGAGTGTTGTGCTGTTTTCAAGTCCCTCTGTCTAAAAGATTAGAGCATTGGACAAGCAACAGTGAGACTACTTATTTTGTTCCAGAGGACTTAATCAGTGACACAGAGAAACTTGGCTCTCCTTACAGTGCTCCATTCAATCTACGGGCTGAGCACCTAGCACGGAGCTCTGGCCAAAATACAGGACACTTCCCTGGGATGTCCAGGATTCCATTCAAAGGCCCTTTCTGAAATCACATTGTAAGAGTGACTACATTTTCGTATTTCAGAAGGTCCAGTACTTACTCTCCTTCAAACACAAATTAATCTAGAGCAGCTCGGCTGTCACAACACTTTCCTAAATCCTCCCTCAGCTGTAGTGGAGCAGATGATTCTAAATTAACATCTCTAAAGGAAAAGCAATCATCCATGATTTGAAATTCTGACTGTACAACAGGCTGTCATCAGTATGAGGTCTGCTTTTCCCCACTTTACAGCAAGACACATGCTCTAGTTCAAAGCCCTCTTCTTCAACACGAGGAAAAACAACACAGTTTAGACAAGCTGCAAACCAGCTCTGTCACTGATCAGAACCGGTCACCACGGGGGCCCTTCCTTTATATACTTACAAAATCTTGCTGAATGTCAGTGAAATCTTTTCCATATTTTTCTAGTGCTTCCTCGAAGAGGTTTGCCTCTGAAGCAGACCACTCCTCCATCTCATCTCTGCACAGGACCGGCCCACCTTGTGGCACAAGCGCAGAGATTGCCTTGGAAATGTCGTAGACATTTTTGTGCAAAGTATCCATAGCATGGAACTACATGGTTGCAAAGGAGAAAGAGAAATGTAAGGACAAGCATCTGGAGGGGGGGAAATGCTTAGCAGTGAAACAGCAATGACAAATGCTGCACCAAGATTTGGGAGTGCAGTATTCTATACCCCAAACAAAGTCAGTAAAAACTGTTCCAATCTCAGACTCACTGCAATTGTCAGCATACAAGTCTAACATTCACTAGCAATAGTGGGGGGTGTGGAATACAAGCCCTTGTGTATCAATAATTCCTACTCAGCACCACTACTGCAGCAATACTGTTAGTTAGGGATAGACCCACTCCCCCAAAGATTGAGCAGCCCTGTTAAGTACCACAAAAATTGCTTATGTGAAAAATAAGAGTAGCAACATGCACATACTGTTCCCCCCAAAGGCCAGAAGCCCCAAAAAAGATTTAAGTTGCACATCACAGCTGAGTAGGAAAAAAGAATGACTCTCAGGAGCAATTACTCCTCAGAAAGCTGAGCAACTTGTGATTTACAAGGGCTGAGAACAAGCTGCGAGGGAGGAATTGATATGAGTAAACGCATAAAAGTTCAAGTTTTCTCTTTCCTCGATCTACTCAGCAACATTTATGATTATAAAATGTTAACAACAATACCACTCCTCAAGTATTCTAAAATGGAGCTCATCAAAGAGAACAACTGGATCCACTGGCATTTCTTATCTGACCACAAGCTTTTCCCCTAGACAATCTTGCCCAAGGATGCCAGTGACAGTCTGGTGTTGGGGAAATGATGAGGAGTGGCACTCTGGCACTGTAACATTGCAGACAAGCAGACAATCATTTGCATTCTTCTCAAGGCAGCTACCAAGCCCATGCAAGAGATGGGCTGCAAAGCATGTCATCAGAATATTTTAATAAAACTAAAAAACAACAATAAAAAAACCTCACAGAACTATCCATGACGGATCATAGGAGGCCCAAGGCCAGAAAAAGTTACTTCATCTGTAACTAAAGAATTCCTTTACAAAGACAAGGTCTGCTTCACAGCAGGCCACAATTACAATCCATCTGCCCCTCTCTCTTTGCCAACTGTTGTTGCTGAGGTGAATATTTTGCATCTCTCACAAACTTAAGGTCCTCTTAAAAAAATCTCACCAGTGTGATGTCCCTGGAGGCTGCTGCAGCACTCATGTGCAAACTTGGCTGTCTGACAGAACTACTGCAATCCAGCGCTCGGGCAAAAGTACCAACAGACCTGAAAGAAATTAAACACAGCACTAACTTTGCATGCAAACCCAGCACAAATATAAACACCCAGCCAACACTTTCTCAGTTACAAGAGGATGTGATTTGTTGCTCATTCTGAGCCAGAGACCGTTCTCTTCGATGTGGTTTGTTATTATCAACGCTTTACTTAATTCGTATGACCACAGAGGCTTAGGCATAGGAGAGGAAACAGAGAAAGACTGAAGGATGACCAACAGGGAGTTCTGACCTGCTCTCTTATCCCTTACCTCTCAACAGATTTAAGCTATAAAAGGAACTGAGCACAAGCAAGCTTTATGAATGGCAATAGTCTCTTCCACAATCACAAGAGCAGTGCTGCATTGTCTGAAGGTATAGAGACAGATGCCAAGACCATACAGGAAAAATGCAGTAATGCAAACATTTTTCTAAAGGTTTCAGTGACATTAAAAACAATATTTATTTTACAACTTAATATTATATAATATTTATTATAAAGCCTGCATAAGAACACAGCAATTCTCGAATACTTCACAATACCCGTCATTTCTGCATCTGAGGTTACAATCCCCATGCTCTTCATCTTATTCCCAAAGAAATTAATTGAAGGAACCTTTAACATAAACATCGATTCTCGACATTCCTACTCCCCTGCCTGCTTGCTACATCACATGGGTGAAACACTTGTCTTCCTGCACAAGGGAACTGGAGTTGAACTCCTCTGAGCAACTACGACAACAAAAAGAAGGTGGGTCAGGTTTTTCCCCCTCCACTCAGATCACTTCCCAAAACTAGCTGAGCCCACAGAGGAACACACTAGTGCCAAGCAGTGCAGGAATAGGAAAGGTAAATGTTTAAGCCCTAGTTGTCATCAAACATCTAATTTTGGCCAAAATCCAAAGCAGCCTCCCCCATCCCAGTGTCTGTGGTGATTCACACTTCACCCTCTCCTCGGCCTCCCAGTCACTATCCCCATCATCCCTACTTCCCAACTCCCCCATCCCCAGCTTTAGCTGAACTGATATTTGTGTGTGTGTGTGTGTGAACTAATTATAAACTGGAATGCTTTGCTGATTCTGGACAGAAGGAATTTTTTCAGTGCTTCTCATTAGAGTGGCTGTACTGGCAAACCCAGCGGGCAGCACTGAACAGACAGAAAGAACCACTAAAACCAGTTTTGCCACCAGAAGCCTACACAAGGTGGAAAACCCCACCACAAAGGAGCTCTACAGTCACTCCAAACCAACCCACACGAAAACAAAAGAGGGGGGAAAAAGAAAGAACCAGAAGGCTGACAGATCCAGGGTTCATCCAAAAAGGCTTAACTCTGTTTTCCAGGGCTAAAGCCCCTGGCTGCAGCAGGCACCTAAACCACACAGAATGTGAAGCGTGTTACCTTTTTATTTTTTTCTCTGAATTATTCAGTCACCAATTGCTATGATGGCCTAAAATTTAATATAGTCTTCTGTTTACATAAATGCATAACAATGAATTAGTTCAAGAACCTTTTAAAAACGAAAAGTTGATGAAGAAAGATTGCTTTCGGCTTAAATAAGAACATCATCAGTACAGATTTGCAGGGTTCTACTTTATTGTGCCTACCTTTTTGAATCTAGGCCTTCGAAAGGGTCCTTGCTCCATCAAAAGCATTTACTAGAATTCTTAGCAAACTGTTAATGGATGTCAAAATGTCATTAGATTTGAAAAAGGCAGAAAATGGACCGAGCAAGCAACCGTCAAGAATTTAGCTCACTAAGTCTGCTGCACGCTGGTCAAAGCATTTGAAAAACCTCACCAATTTCAGGATCAGTTTTACATGCCATTTGCTCTTCCTTAATGAAACTGTTTAAGTTGTAAATCTGAGAAGCTGTTCCTAAAGTCATGCAATTCCCAGGAAGGCATGTAAAATGTCCATCTTTCAAAATGGAGCAAGTGAATCAAGCAACCAAAACTCACATTCATACTAATAAAGAACTTTAAGTGCCTGGAAGAGTTACTGACATTTACTTCTCCAAAAGAGAGGTAAAAGCTTCTTACCGTGCTACCACCAGGAACTGGTCTATCTGCTTGTCTACTAGTGGGTTAAAGGCTTCCCAAACTTTTGTTTCAAGTTTTGACTGATCTCTTCCATCATCCTCACCTGGTTGAAAAACAAATCAGAAATGCTTAGCATGGTTCTTTCAAAATACAAGTACTTTCTAGATTATTTTTTATCTCACGATAATGTCACTCTTAGCCCATCTTAGTTACTCTGTCTGACAGGCCACTGAGAAAATTTTATTCACTTATTTGTACGTGACAGTTTCATCTTGCCAGACACAGCAACACAGCTCGTCTGAATCAGGCAATCAGATTTTCAATAACTGGTTTCAAAGGACATGTCATGGCAAACAGTACATCCTTCTCCAAACTAGACAGTTTCTTTCCAGTTTCTTTCCTCAGCTCCTCTCTTCCTCCTTTATCTTGCAGCAATTTCAGGAAAACAGACACACTCCCAGCTGCTCTGAGCAGGCAAAAAGTAACTGGTTCAACTCACGTCAGCTGCTTTCTAAGGGGTAAGTCATGGCATCAGACACTCTTGTTTTTATTTTCCCAATTCTATACAAACCAACTCACGTCAGCTGCTTTCTAAGGGGTAAGTCATGGCATCAGACACTCTTGTTTTTATTTTCCCAATTCTATACAAACCAAAACACCCTGGAAAAACACAGGAGAAACTTTTTTCCTCTTCTTTCTGTTCCCTTTAGAACATCTGGAGATTATCCTCTCTGAAGCCCATGTTGGCCCACTGAGGGAAGAGGATTCCTTTCAAATTAGTTCACCCTCACTTAGGATGCTTGCCCAGCTGTTGAATAAATACCAGTTTCATAGACAAATTAAACAAGAGTCCTGACCCATTTGTTTGCCTGTTCTCACATGAGACTAACAATATCAGCAAAGCTCCCAAAGACAGCAGAGGCATCTCACTGCTTTCACATCTTGGCCTATTCAGTCTGGATAGGGCCTTTCCAACATGGGTCACAACCCTTGGTCTCTTAGGAGAAGGGTACTGACAGACCTTTCCCCATGCATTGCACAGGGCTCAGGAAAGAACAGTTAGGTGCCAACACTCCCCATCCCTCTCAGTTTCTCCACCCACTTTTGGATCTGTAGGGTGGTGATCTTTTGGATTTGTCTGTGCAGAGACAAATAAATCTAAAGTTAGTTACTGTTTGGTAACTAGTATTGCTTACTGCTGCTACTCCCTTTCCTTGGGCCAGGGTCCTTGTGTCCTACTGCTCCATGACACAGTGGGGGCAGGTTGAGATCTCACCACACACTCCAGCCAGCAAATTCTTCCCTCTGCCTGTTCTGCAGGTGAGAAGTCTAGGCTGGCAGCCAACACTGGGAATGGGAGAGGGCTCCAGGGAAAAGGCACCCGGCAATAATGGGCAGATTGATGAGGGCAGACAGCATTTAACTGGCAGTAATTTGGGAGGGGCTCTCATAGGGAAGTGAGTCTTGATTAAAAACACAAAAGGCTTTTACAGACACGATGGAAATTTGTGCTTCCCATGGAAATTCTGAAATCTCCTAATAAAAAGAGTGCAAACTCCGAGAGAGCCCATTAATTCAATTTATTTCAACAACATTTGTCATTTGGACAAGTGCCCATTTAAAGACCAGCTTGAAACAGAACTAATTGCCTTCAGTGGGCAACAGCCTCAACAAACCCCAACCATCCTTGTACACATGGCCTGGCAGTGGGAACCTCCACCTCCCACACCTTGGCAGGCTGCACACATAGAAGCGGCCACATTCAATGTGGACTCTTGACAATTTAAATAAATTACAGAAATTACCCTCTTTTAGTAAGTCTGTTATATCTGCCTGGTATCGGTTTCCAACTCGAATCTCTCCTTTATCAGCGAGCAGAGTCTTTTGTTGAGGATCATATACTAGTGAATAAAAGAAGAAATCCTAAAAATAAAACAAGAGCAAAAAGGTAAACAGTGTTATTAGCTTTTATTTTCAGCTTTACGTATGTATTACCCAGCTTTTACGTTTTAAGTTTGGTTTTATTACCTATATACAGATTTTAAAATTGGGTGAACAAACAATAAAATGAACCACCAGCTTTAAAACCCTATTTAAACACTGCCATTTCCTTCTACATTGGAAGTGTAACAGCTCTCCTTAACAGCAGCCCTTCCCTTAACATAAAGTCTCTCAAACTGAAGTGAACAAAGATCCTCTTGCACAAGAAAAGTTCAGAAGGGCCAGGAGACAATTTTTAGTCCTATCGGCTGTTTCAGAACACAAAATTGCATTTTCCCATATCCCAAAACAGCAGTACTAGATGCCAGTGACTTATCTGCAAAGAAATATTGGTACAAACTGAAGCATAACTTCAGAGTGTTACAGCCAGACTAATGCAACCCCATAGAGACATGAAGACCCAGACTACCTCTACAGCCTCTGCTGGGCTTGCTCCAGTCTGTCAATGTCTCTCATGCTGGAAGGCCCAAAGTTGGTCATAACACTCCAAAACAGTCTCACTAGTGATGAAGTGTGGGGATGAATCCCTTTCCTCCATCTGCTGGCTACATTCCTGCTAATATAGACCAGGATGTGCTCAGCTTTCCTTGTCACAGAGATGCACTGATGACCAACTTCTTGCCTGCCACCATCTAAGCTTAAATCACCGTGTTTCCTTCTGTTTGTTATTGGGAGAAGGGCAGCAGATTTGGCAGCAGCAGTAATTAGCTGCAGGTGGCAATACATTAATTTGTGGCTTTTGTTCAAGTAGATGAGAAAAAGGCTAAAGTAGCTGCTTAGCTTCTGTTACTTGGGTGTGTAAAATTAAAGCTAGAAGACATAGCAGAATGGGAATGTTCTGCCAGGGCAAGGAAAGAAAACAGCCAATATTTTAACTACTTAAAACTGCATAGTATAAGTAATTAAACTTTTCTGCATGGATAAGTACTTAGCTGTAGCTATTGAGTGACACATCAGAGACCAGGTATCCCAAAGTGTGGGATACTAGGCAGGATTAGAGCTCTGGTAGGACATGGCATAATAGACCTTTTGTTACCTCTGTCCACAGCAACATCATCACCAAGGAAGAGAAATGTTTCTGAACAGAAACAGGACATGTGATGTGCCATTTTTCACATTTTGGGTTACTGGCTCATTTTCCCTTTCCCCATATTTCTGTGTCACTAGCAGGCACTCTCTTTAAATACATCTCATTTCATGCTCACCTCATTTTCCCTTTCCCTATATTTGTATGTGTCAACAGCATGCAACAAAAATTAGGACAAAACCAGCATCAGTTTCAAGCCCTGTTCAGCTTTATGAAGAGGTGGCAAAGGAAAAGAGAGTCTCCCAATCTGTCACGCAAAACCTCCCCAGACAAAAAAAAAAAAAAATTGCTGTGAATTTCCACAGTAACATAGCAAAAATTCTGGAAAGGAACTGAACTTCAACTAGAAGGGTTGTCTGTATTTGGGTTTGGGGTGGGGGGATTTGGTTGCATCCTAAATAAATGATACTTTTGACAAAAATGATTCCTACTCCCACAGGCACCAGGGTCAAATCACATCAAGCTCCTGACAGAAGGCAGCTTCAGAGTACATGAAAACTTATTTATATTACAGCTATGTAAAGAAATCTGGGTCTCTTGCTCCCTGACATACACAAAGCTGAAGACATTACAATATTTTGAAAATGCATTATTGCATGAATAAAATGTAAGAAAAGTTTTTGTCTCACAGCCTTCCAGGTTATAAATACAGTGTTTTATTTGTTTCAGCTCTAAAATACCTAAATGCAGGACAAAGTAGATGCAGTGCAGCATTAATGCTTTCGAGGCACGTTGCCCAGCAAATATGCAACCCAAACACTGTAGTATAACACAGTGGGCCCCAAGGAAGACCTATTCAACAGGCAATTTCTTTAGAGTCTTTCTTGGCCAGGGAAAGTCATACATTGTGGAGGGGTTTTCTGCCATGGTATTTGACTGTTGGATGCCCTATTGTTTCTCTTTTATTGGTTATCACTATGAATTTTCTAATATATATAATAAACCCCATCCTTCTCTACCAATCTCAGGTCATCCTGTTGTATCTTATCCAGTTTTGTCTCAAATCAAGCAGGTTCAACAAAAGAACTAAAAGCTTCTTCCCAACCAGAACCTCCTCAACACAGAAAAGATGGAAGTCGGAGGGCCCAAGTGTGAATACAACAGAAACTGCAACCTCCAGAGATAATAAAATACCACTACCATCTTCCCCCATAGATATGAAATTCATTCTTGCAAACTGAGTGGGATTTCTGAAAACATTAATAATTGTCAGTTTAGTGCCAATGCAAACCATGGTCTAAGAAACAAACCAGATCCTTGTGTACTCGACAGCACATGTGAACTCTTGATCACCACTATTTGATAAGAACAATTTTTCACAAGGGTTTTACAAGAGTGATGTTCCCAACAAAAAAAACAGCTGTTCAAGATGTTCCATGATCATTTGAGCTGTCACAACTGTGTATGCTGAGTCTGCAGTAGTCAAGAAAAAGAAGGGTTTCCTCTTTTAATTTCAGACTCCAGAAAACACCCAACATGTTCGGAAAAATTAACATGACCTGCCAAGAGAACTAAAACTGAATCATGACTTTCTACATCTCCCAGCTGTTAGACAGACACATATGCTCAGAGCTTCTCTACCCAAGCCCCTAAGCTACCCAAAGCCAAGAACCAAAGCCACTAAGAAATGGCAGAAGAACTGGAAAAAAAAAGACAGGCCCAAAGTGAAAGTACAGTACAGAAATAATGGTTAGCTCATTACAGCTTGCAAACTTACTTTCATGTATTTCATATATTTTAACTAGAGAACATTTTATTTTTAGGGGGGTACCAAAAGGAACAGAAATGCCAGACATCTGCTCAGCAGGCAAATTCACACAAGCGTCTGGATATATTCAGGCAGAGCTGTAAAATAGATGGTACATATAAAATAGTTTCCTGCAGAATAGCGAAATCTAGTGCTTTTGCCATAATTGGCTATGCCCTTCTCTTGATCTCCATGGGAATTTGGTATCTACAGAAAATTCAGGTTTTCCAGTTACTTTTTTTTTTCCCCTCTTTCTTCCTGTTCCTCACTCCTGCTACAAACCCAGTTTTACCAGGCACAATAAAAAAGTCCATGCTGGTCCCCTTCGGCCTGCTTTTCAAATGTAACAAGGCAATCTTCCTGAGAAAGATGACAGAGGGGTGGAAGGAAGAAAACAGAGATAACACAAATGTAATTTTGCTATGCTTACTATCTCACTAAAAAATTTGTGTCTGTGTGCTTAACCTGCTTCAAGGCAGACACCCTTGGGCTGAAAGCCTACTGTTACTGGTCATAACATTTAAGAAATCAAATGACAGATTCCCTGGAACTGCTTAGGCTTTATTGACAGCAACCATGTTAAAAAACAAAACAAAACAAAACAACAGTCCTGAAACATTCTGAAAGCAAAGAATGGAATAAGAACAGGAGGCGTGGGGAAAGAAGAAACAGTTCAAAACAATACCATCCAGTGTTAGGAATTTATCAGGCAACAAACTATCTCCTTTTCTTAATCTCTTTACCCTCCACCCAAGCACATTTGTGTTCTGAGCTTTTTTTTGCCATTTGTCCAAGCTGGTTTGCACCACAGCAAAATGCCATGCTAAGTGACAGGACACATTCAGGGAACTCTCTCGTTCTGTGAAATTTCCAAGTGCCTGCTCAGTTTTAAAAATAACCCACGTCACTCATCTTGCATTTTGAGAGTTCAAAAGGATGAAAAAAAAAAAAAAAAAACTCTTTTTGTGCCTACATCTGCAACGGAGCAGTTGCACGATTAGAGGAAGGCAGCTCCCTTCTGTCTCAGCATACCCACCTGGAACATCAGCGATGATAAAATCACGTGGGGAGCAATCGAGAGCAAACACGGCTTAAAAGTTGGGTACTAGAAAATCTAAACCAATTTCAGTTTGATTAACTTTTGCTTTCCAACTGGCATATCCCAGGCTGCTAACTGGTTACAAGCACTGCTGAATACAACGTCCCTTGTTTGATGCGCTGCCATTTGGCAGCCTTCAGCAGACCCAAGATTTTTTTGGTTTCACATTCCAAAGAGAAAACTCGACTATTTAATCCCTATGCTTTGTTTAAAATTCTCTTAAACTAAAGTATCAGATTAAAATTAATCTTATGCTTAAATAAATACTAAAGAAAGCTAAAAAAGCATTTAAAAAGAAAGCCCAGCTATGAGAGAAACTACAGTATGCTCCTTGCAAAAAATGACCTGTTTTCTCCTTGTCTTAAAAGCCAGGAATGACCATCACCCTACTGTTTTTAATTGTAAGATTTCCTTTCTTGTATAACCTTTTAAAGTTTTCAAATGCAAATTATTTGCTTGCAGATGTATTCAAATAATAATACACTGAAATTCTTTGCTAATCTCCCAGAGTAAAGCCCCCAGATTGTCAAATTCCAAGACTGTCTGACACAGCCAGCAGCCAGAGGTCTGGCCACAATTAAAGGTATATATTTTTTAAAAAATACAATAGCAATTTTTAATATAACAAAATACCTAGAAAAAGTAAACCCCAATGTTTATACTCTGAATGATGATTAACTGTGCAAGACAAATCAGTTTCAAGTGGTTGGTTTGAGGTACCTTTAAAGAGATTGAGTAAATTTCTGCAGGACTCAGATATCACCTGACAAGCAGTTTTTCAAGGATTTGAGTGTCTGTGGTGGCATATGAAGGACTACAGATAAGTATTTTAAACAGCGAACTCAAAGAACAGGGAACTAAGCCCCTCAAATCTGAGGCAAGATCAAGCTTAAAGCATATTAACATAAATCTGTATGATTTCAGGATAAAGCAAATATATAGAAACACAGCTTGCTGTATTGCTCCCCCTTCTACAGTTACTGTATCTCCCACCTTGTCTTGGCTGGGGCATCAGCCTCCGGGTTTGAACCCTCAGTCTGGCACAGTAAGGAGCAAGTTGGGCTCTCTTTACAGAAGGAGAGGCAGCTTATTGTCACAGGGGTGTAAACACCAGGTCTGGCCCCTGGACCTACAAAATTTTATAGCAGAATGCAAACTGTACGGGACCTAGAGCTTCCCACTGTCAATGCACAGTACATGTAGAAATGAAAGAATTGTCCTCTTTCTAGAAAACCTGTAAAAAGGTACCAATCCTAAATTGTGACAGAATAAACTGTTCAAGCTTTACAATACACAAAATGGCTCCTACCTCCCGTTCCAGATATGATTTAAGGGATTCTGTCTCATTTAACAGAGTAACGCTGCATTTGCCTCTAAAAAAAGAGAAACATCTTATGAAAAAACATTGTAAATGCTCATGTGATTCACAAGATGGTATTACTGAAGTTATACACAGAACTTGATCTTACACCGAAGAATGCTTGAGTAATAACAATGCTATTTGATTTTTGAATAAGATGGAAGAAAACAGTCATTACCTAATGTGTGTGGCTGGCAGAGATTCCAGCTGTCGTGAGAGAAACAACTCACGATGTCGTAGCTGATGCTTCTGTTTCTCTGGTAAATCAACCATTTCTGGATTTTCCATCTCTTCTTCCATTTCTCCTAGTGATAAAGAGACAAAATTGATCATCAAGAACAGGGCAAGAATTGATTCTGAGCCAATTGGGATGAGCTGCTCTAAAACCTTTGCTAAATAATAAACAACCAGATTAAATCTACCTTCATCTGAATTCTCACATTTCAGCCAACTGAACAATTACATAATTGAAATGATACCTGTGTAGAATGTATTTATTCATTCACCACTGGGATCAAATCACCTCAGGTTCACACAGTCACACTGGCTCACCAAGCTGAAAGTCACAAATCTGCTACCAACAGAGAATTTCTGAGGGGAGAGAGCTGCTTTTGGAGACCACCAATGCACCATCAGATTCATCAGGCAGAAGCTGACACACTTTGAGTGAGGCAATAAAAGTGAACTCTTTCCTCTTTTCCAGGCATCAGTTCTCTTAAACCCTACTCTTCTTTCAGGATATCACACTGTCCCATCCTGACCTCAACAGCATCTGCAGGAAATGCCCATTGAAAAGGGTAGTTTATTTAATGAATATATTTCATTCTCCTCACTCCAACCACAGCCAATAGATCACAGCCACAAGATTAACTGGAATGTAACCAAGTGCCTAAGGCCAGTCTTGCCACTCTACCCTACCACACCACCACACACATTCAACTGCAACACTCCAGCATTTCAACAGTCAGGATCCACCATGTCTGGCTTCAAGGCATCCAATTTCCATCCAACTAGTTCTTAAATGTATGCCCAAGTAAATACATGAAATCACATCCACACCGATACAAAACTGATCCTAAACATCGCCAGGCACCTGTCTTGTAAGAAATAAATTGTATGTTTTGTGTTCATTAGCAAGTATCCTGCCAGTTATGCAAAATAAAGCTGTAAAAGGCAAAATACTCATTAAAAAAAGCTGCAGAGGTCCTCCATAATGAACTGAGAAAGAAGATATCAGACTTTTCCTTCTCTAAGAAATTAAGGCAGTTACTGGATTTTGCAAAATCATGGGAAAGGCTTCCCAGACTGTAGCAGAATGAGCTGTAAAGCCTCATACATGAATTGTAAAACTCTAATTTTACAGCAGCATTACTCTCAAAGAGCAGACTTTTGCCTGCAGCTTAATTCAACAGTTGTTGCCAAGAAACATTGCTAGTCAGAAACACACACAGGTACAGTTATGATTTACATACCCTTAAGATTAGTTAACTATAATCCTTATAGTTATCCAAAAAAATAAAGCAAGCAGAAATGAGAGCTCTCGATTTTATAAAACACTAAAATTGCATTTAGTTTTAAATAGGCCAACATTATGCCAAAGGGGGTGACAGAAAATTATGTACCCTACAGGTTCCCCACAATTTATCACTGTTTTACTGTCCTGAAAATAGACTTGTGGTTTATTTGTCCCTCAGGTAGGCTGCTCCAGCAAGGAAGGAAAAAAATAGTAGCATAATTAAACCAGACTGCAACATACAATAGCTGTTACAGCACACAAGCTGTTAAGCATACAGCAGCAGGCACTTTAGGTTTTAATATTTTCCTGGGAACTGGAACACCAAATTTACATTTGTTGCACAGTTTCATGGGTCTGCAATTTATTTACTGAAGTGGATTCTGTTTTAGTTGAAAATTAATATTGTGCCTGCTATCCTGCACTATAAATACACCAGCAGCAATCCACAAACAAGTCAGCAAGTTCCAAGCTTGCTTTCCTGAAAACCGAAGGATGCACAAATGAAAAGGTAGTTCATGCTTATACTTAAAACAGCTTCGGAGAATGACAGCAGTGCCCTGTGTAATGCAGGGAAAACACTGTAAGGAGCAACCTAAAATACTTAATATCTTCAGTATATTTGATAGCCTAGAGCTTTTAAAAATTACATTTTTCCAGAAAGTGTGTCAACTGCTGTGTGCCAGTCAAATCCACAAACAAAACAAAAGCACCAGCACAACCAAGCTAATCCCAGGAACTGCACCCCTTCAGGCAGGTTTGCCTTTCAACTAGTGTTTTATTTATGTGTCTAGCTTTTGTAATAACATACAGGTGGGGGGAAGCACACATGTTGTTCTTACTCCAGCTCTGCTATGCATAACCTTTTAAAAATCAAAAAGCACAATACATTTTTTCTTAAAAACAGACAGGAGTTTCTACAGGTAACAAACAACTCCCCACACACGCAGAGGCAAAACTGTCAGACAGACAGAGGTAAGAGTATTCCAAGAAATAACAAACAAACAAATAAATCTACACAAGCATCTTCTCTCCTTTTCCACTGGCATGATTTAGCACTGAAAAGAATGAAACTGGCAAATGCATTCTGAACTGAGGGAGGAGAGAACACAGGACTGGATCCAGGACAGGAACCTCTACCTCACTGAAGTCATGCAAAAGCACCTTGACAAAAACTAACCAATACCACCTCACACCCCACTGACACCATATCACCACCTCTGCACAGACAGCAAAGGCTTATTAAATCAGAGTATAAACCACAACAGGGTCTGTCCCAGCCACAGCTCCAGGTCAAGTCTGTCTGACACATCTGCATTTCACCTTCCTACAGCTCACCCACTCACACTCTAAGTGAAGCAGACTCCATCCTCAAGAATGGTGGCCTGTGAGAAGTAAGAACCATAGTCTTAAAAAAAAAATATATATATATTTATAAAATATCCAAAAAATCTTTTCAGAAAGACTTGCCTGCATTTTGACAGTACTGTGGAGTAAGTGCTATGGGAATTATGGGAATACAGGAGGTACAGTATATTGGGACTTCAATGCTCTCCTAAAGCCTTACTTCAAAATTAATCTCTCTGATAGATGTGCTTGTGCAGATTTGAAACTAAACATTTAACCATAATACAAACAGTGATATATCAGCTATGCAGAAACAGCCAGTGGAATGCTGCAAGGAGCATATTAGATTAAGTATTATTTGATATTTGATGACAGAATCATTAATAGCACATTAACAAAGCTTGAAGATGACTTATATTGGGAACAAGAGACAGACAGACTGAGCACAAACAGCAAGACTCATGTGAAAGCTAACATATATGGGGAAAATAATTAGGAAGAGTAAACTTTGAGTTGGCAGGAGAAACCCAAGAGGCAGTAATTGTAATTTAAAATGACTGGGTGTGTGAGATGTGAAATTAAACATCAATATTTGCTAGACACTAGAAAGAATAGCAATTTGCCATAGATCAGATTGGGTTCTCAACAACATCAGCATCAGCCCTTTCTCTGCATTCTGGGTGTTTTACAAGTAGCTACATGACAGAATTCAGAAATGCACAAAGGCAAACAAGATACAGAAATTAGGTTTAGAGAGCACACTAGGTTGTCCAACTAGGGAGACAGTCTGTAGTGACAGAAGAATTAGTTAACAAGGTTATCACTAACAAAATAATGTAAAGGAAAAAACTGGAGCCAAAACATTGGGAAACACAGTAAAGCCAGCGCTGGTGACCTGCATTACAGCTCCTTCAGCAGCAAAGGAAGTTGTAACTCTTGCTGCTCTAACTGTTCATCTAAGGACCTTAGAAAGACATTAAAGAAATGCTGCACTTGAATAAATGAATAATACAAAACCAGTTTCCTTCTTCCAGGTTCAGTTTCAAATGGTCTGTATGAAGCCTTAGCCTTATTTATTTTCTCTCTACCAAAAAACAGATATTGATTTGTAGCTATAGAAAGTATGATGAAAGTTTAAACAACTAAAAATCCTTACACCTTGACACTTCAGAAGGAGTTTGCCACATCATCAAGACATCCCACTAGGATTCCGGCCACAAATTCCTTGTCATCATCTTTGCTACCTGTAATAGTGGCCATGGCTGCAAAACAGACACTATTTTGGACACTTATTGTATCTTCCCTCCCTGCACTGCTCCCAAAGAGAAAAACCACAGCTTCCTCCTCCCAGTAACAACAGAGCCAAAGTGTCATTAGTGGATCTGTGAATTTGACTCCTCTTAAATCTGCAAGTGTGGTGTTGGGAAAAAATGGAAAGGGGGAATAAAATGGAAGAAATAAAATAAAAACAGCTTATTTGTGAAGCTATGGTCAAACTTTATTTAGATTGGTGTTATCTAAAATGTAAAAAAAAATTCTCAATAGACTCCTTACCTCTCTAGGCATGCAGGTATCATGCAATTCATGGACTGAATGAGCAATGACATTTAACCGCTACAAGACATTTATTTTCAGAAGCTTTGGCACTTGCCAAACCATTCTGCTATGTGTGCCTGGCAGCCAAACATCAGCTGCTGAAAACTAACTATAAATCTGCCAAACCAGCCAGCACTAACTACTCAGTTCTCCAACTGGTCACTCATTGCTTTGCAAATCGGGATAAACATTTTTATGAAGTGAAAACTGTGTCCTAAGGCAACCCACAAGTATCCCAGACATGGATGGGGGCGGATCATTAGAAGAGAGGATAGGAAGCTGTATTCCTGCTGCTGAATATAAGACATATAGAGAAAGTATGTAGTGACAGCACCCAACAGCAGCTTGAGGAGTAAAGTATCTTTCCCATTTCTCTTCCATCAAGACCTGCCTGCAATCTTCTTTGCATACAGTATCTCTCTTAAACCACTATGAAGTCTCTGAGCAAGAACATTAAACAGTTTCCTACTGGTGAAGCAGGTTCATTTCAGAAACAGGTGGAGAAATTCCCTAGAATAATTTGCGAGGTGATTAAAAAGGCTTATGAACAAAAAGTGCTAACAATGTATGGAAGACATTATGAGGCTGAAAGATTTATAGGACAGCCCAGATAAGCTTTATATCATATGATAAAAATAGTAAGATCACAGATCAAATCCAAGAATCAGGTTGCATACATCAGGTGTTAATTTACAGCCACCAACTACAGAATAAGGTGCTTCCAATCCATTTCTCTGTGTAAAGACTTATGAGAAAAGACAACATTTCAGACTTGTCTGTTTTAGATAACTGATGGATCATACAAGCTAAAGTGGCTTTTTTTGTTTTAAACTTCAAAACATTCATTTCACAATCACACCTTTTTCCTTCCTTTATTGGAAGAGTTATATATATATATATATATATATATAATTTTTCCATTCACGTTCTGGCCGTATCTTCTCATTACTTGGCTCTCTCACTGCACTGATCTCAACAGTAGGTCTGAAATAAAGGCATCTTAAACAGAAGACTGTGTGAATCCAGAAATGTCTGCAGTCAGAAAGCTCCATTAATCAGCTGAACAAAGGCAGTTAAAAGATCAGCGATGCAGATACGTACATCTACTGCAAATGCATCAAAATGAGGCAACAGGAGACTTTATGGAAATGAATTCAAAGTCAGTGACAGTGTGGAGTATCTGTACTAGAATCTTAACATCCACAAAATTTAATTTCATTATATCATGCAAGATGTAGATTTTTTTTTCAGAGTAAAGAACTAATGGCTGTCCAAAACCTTCATTTTACTCTCTTCTCCCTCCTTAGGAAGAACGGAAGCCACAGAACAGCACATCTATCTAAATAAATGGAAGTCATTGAGTAGCAATTTTATTCTGCACCAGAAAGAAACATACTGGAGAAAATGTTAGTTACTAATGAAATTTACCCTAAGAGGCAGCCTCAGTTGTCTCTGGTGGCTCCATTAATAGGATTGTGCTATAGAAGAATTTTCCCATCTTTCAAACACATATGAACAGGAACAATGAATTATTTGTTTGCATTAAAAAAAAAAAACCGTTTAAGTTTCTAATCACAAAGAGAAATCAGCCTTTGCAGATTCAAAGAGCATTTATATGGGTTCAAACATGTTTCATTGCCAGTCTCAGACATGCGTTTCTGTGAATCCTTCCTACCTGCTTCCTTTACTAAATCTAGTGAAGTGAGACACAGATGAAGGAATCAATAGTCATGTTGTTTATGGCGAAGCTCCTATTAAGCTTCAGGTTTCTCAGACAAAATAAGCACTACTGTATTGAAGAGATATCAAAAAACCTTTGCCTGCCACCACAATTCTGCCAGGCAGCCAAACCCCATCTCAATGCCTCATGACCTTTTCTTCAAGGTATGGCAGCAATGGAGGAATTATTTGGACAGATTCCAATCTACAACAGAAAATACTCAAATTTATTAGAAGGGACTAGTTTTGCTGCATGTTTTCCCCAATGGCATTACAGCAGTGAGAACACAGCAAGATACTATATTCATTGTTAAAACTGAATATCTGATTTAATCAATCCCCATGCAGTAAAACTGTGTAAGATTTGTATTACATATACATCACTCTATTCATATATACACCAAGCAGCACATTAAAAGACAATAATGCTTGCCAGCTAAATCATAATTCTCACATGCCCATATCTGATTGCTTCTCTTTCATTTATGCATGTGCCCTGAATTACAAGGATTCATATGGCTGTCCATGCTTTTTGCTAAATTTTAAGCAATCTGAACAGCTACATCTCACACACTCCTCTACTTACAGGAAAAAACAGTTTTGTAACTCCACCCGCTCAGTCTTTTTCTCCCTTTCAATATGTCTGTTTTGGAAAGTGTTATATTAGTATCCATCACCTTGCAAGGATGGGGCAAGAGGGACGTTGAACTGGCAGAGGAAGGTGTAATAAACCTAAATCTAATTCTCCCTGGCAATTGGAATGGAGTCAAGCAGGCTGGAAGCACCTCACATAAAGTGCCAAACGTCATGTAAATATGTTGCTCTGTTTTAAAACTATTTCTATAATTGAAAAAGAATTGTAGCATTAAATTCTTGTTTAGACATAAGAATTTATTATTCTTCTAATTATTATCTACTCAGCTAGGTGTCCCACATGCCTCTGATCATCCTGGGAGAGGACTACATGCCTACATAACACAACATTCTGTAAAATAAGAAAAAAAAAATAAAAAACCAACCAACCAAACAAACAAGAAATTAGTTACACAATGTATACACACAAGGGAGGTTGATGTAAGGTAAGGTAGCATGAATAACCCTCTGAATTTTATGATATTTTCATGCTTTTATTAAAAATCAGAACATAATACTCAAAAAAAAAGTTCTAAATTTCAAGTCTCCTCTCAGCATAGACACTTCTTTTCTGAACAAAAGGGCTTGAAATATTCAAAACAGTGATAGGAGATCCTAAAATTCTCTGCTTTTTAAGTGTATTTACTGAACAAGTTCAGACAAAAGCTATGTCACTACAAAAAATATTAATATTGAAATTTAAAGAGAAATCCTGTTAGTCAGGTTTCAAGCTGGCCATGTTTCAAGTCGGTTTCCTCTGATCAGTCTATTTGATTTACTTATAAAGAATGTTTGAGGGGTTTTTTTTAATCTACAAACCAAACCAAGTAATTCATGAGAAGTAATATGAGACAGGGAGAATACTCCCTTCTTATTCCAAAAATTAAAAAATTCATTCTCTAGGGCAAGTAGGATGATGCTTTTACTCAGCTCTAACTGAAAACTTTTGTGTTGTCCCCCCCAATCAAACTATACACAAATGAGGTTTTAAAAGGTGTAAGGAAAGGGGAAAGGAAAAACAAAAAATAACATAAGGGGGGCAAGTAGAAAGAGAAGTCAGACAAACAAGTAATGCAAATCGCTGAAAAAAGACATTTATGAATAGTAAGATTGATACTTGAATTCGAATATCAAAGTCATACCCAAGTTTGACAATTTTGCATAGAAGCAATTTAATCTGAACACAAACAAGCTTACTTGCATGTTTGTCTGCCAATACAATAAGTGTACTTGATATGTCTCTCCTTCTGTAGAAACACACCACCTTTGCTTCCACGTTTCCATTGGCAGTCTGAAACAGGGGGGAAAAAAAAAAAGAAAAAAATTGACCACTAATCAAGAGCAGAACTGTTCACACTGACTAGGAACTGCAGAAATAATTTGGAATTTTGCACAGGAGCTACACAGCATCTACTTTTAGCACTTCCACCTGTACGTGTTAACTAACACACAAACTCCAGCACGATCCGTTCCAGGGTAGGGAAATTCCAGGTAGTTTGGCCCTTCCCTCCTAATTGTTTCTGTGGGATCACCATTTTTAGGTTACAGATGTTTCAAGGGGTAAGAAAAAAAACCCCACACTTACCTGCAATTACAACATATTAAAAAGCCACTTTGCTATTATTGAGGCGATACCTACATTAAGCGAAATTCAAATGCATCTTTAAAATCCTAATAAAAAAGTGTGAAATATAACAACAGAATTCAGATCTAGACTGTCCTCCAAACTCTGCAGGGCAGCAGGAAAGCAAGAAAGAACCAGGCCATTATTATTTTCACAAAAGAAATCAAGTAAGGTTTTCTTTATCTGACAGCACTGCTAAGCTAAACAATGACAAACATACAACAACAACAAAAAAATCATTCCAGAAGGAGAACCAAGGAAGCTGGATCAGGCAATAAACTCTACACTGGTGACAACACACAAAAAAGGTCTGAATTTTTGAAAGATTGTTTTCTTTAAACTCTTAATATTACACAGGTGATCAATTACTTGTAAGATGGTACTTGGTAAACTGTGAAACTGGGTTTTTACAAGCTCTAGGGGAAATAAACCTCCTGGTTTGTAACAGCACCAGACAAATTAGTATCTCTAAAATAAATCAAATAATGAAAATGTAGCTTAAGAATTGTATCCTACTGCTCAAGAGTCTTGGAGAATCATAATGAAGGCACACAGTTTCAGAAACTAGAAGACTAAAACACAGATTCCATGCTGGGAAGTGTCCAAAAAGGGTAGTGTCCACAAGGAAACACAAATTCATGTACATGCTTGTTTCTAAGATGTGAATGAAGGAAAAGTTTCAACTGTTATAAGACCAGTTTTCCTACCACAGAGAAAAAACAAGCAGACAACACATAAATGCACAAGTATTTCCCTTGCAGAATAACAGAGCATGCACACTTTCTACCATTTTCTGTTAAATATGTCAGAACTTTCAAATTTTGAGGAACTAAAATACAAATGCAGGAGCCATCTTCTTAAAACACAGACAGCTACAATGTAAATTTATCTGATTTATTTAATTATCCAGGTTTCATTTGCACTCAGTGAAAAAAGGCAGGACAAGATATAGGATTAATTTGAACCTGAAAGACCCATTTCAAAGAGTAGGTCAGAGAAATTACAGCTCAAGCAAGAGTTGCACCAAGATGGGAGATCCAGGCTGAAAGTTCATATCTTTAAAGGTATGGGGAAGAATGAAGAGGAAAAATAAGAGGGGAAAAGAAAACAATGCTTTCTAGGAAGTGACTGACAAATCTGCACCCTGTGACAAGTGGAGCACAGCTGGTGATACCTCACGGCTAAGGATCCACTGGGAAAATTTTAAGAACTCACTCGCATTTCTTTAAGGGAAGAGAGAAGATATTTCTGTAAAAGACCTCCACTAAAAAAAAAAGAAAGAAGGGTTTACAAGGATGTCCTTACCTTCAGATTCTTTATTTGTCATCAAATTGATACATTTTGTATTCCAAGTAACTCTTTTAGAACTACATGCTTTTCCATCACTGGTTGCTGAAGAAAAATACTTAATTTTAGTCAGCTAATGAAAATTCAAATCCAAACCTTCTGTATGGGCTGCAACAACGCTGGTATTGAACCCAACGAAGTGGCATGTTTAGGACACAGCCAGTGGCTTCAGAACAGTCTTACCTCCTCAGCTAGGTCAAAGTTCAGCACTGAGAACTTCAGCTGCCTTCCCACATACAAACCATCACCCTTTTGGATCCATTGAAAGGGAATTTGGCAGATGAAATAATGCACAGGCCCAAAGGACAACCAGCAAAGATAAAGTCTGAGGAAGCAGATAATAGTTACAAATCTTTCTGTTGAGCAAGAGTCTCCCCCAAGAAAGATCAAACTAAAGCTCTCTATCCTCTAGGCAAACTGTTATATTATCTTTATCTTCCACGATCCTGGCATGGAACTGAAGAACCTCAGAAATCTCCTGCCCTAAAGGTGGGCATAATCACCTTGAGAATGACCTGCCATTGACATTCAGTCCTTTCATACCAAAGGAGAACAAAAGGTCTTAAAGCATTCCAGAAAATTATCAGAGAACAAAAGTATTTTTAAGCTTCTAATTACCAGTGAACTGCTAAAGAATTGTTTTGATTTTAATCAAATCAAACAGATCATAAATTCAATTAACTTCAAAGACTTGATGGAAAAAAATGTTTACCTTATTGAGCTCTTCTATTCTTCGTATCAAATAAGGGTTACTTGAAGAATTTTCGAAGTAGACATAATCTGACAAAAAGAAAGAAAGAGACTCTTTAAAATATGAACTGCTAAAAATCAAACCAAAACCTCTGTCAGCCTGGAAAGCAAAGCATATGATCTCCCTTCTCTCTCTGATCAGATTATTTCCACTTTGGCCACCCTGTTGTTTTTTTACTTGCTTCCTCTTCTTAACAAAATCCAGCCAAACTTCTCAGCAGCAATATGTGATCCTTCTCTCCCCTTCCAGCCCAGTTTACACTTACTGTCATTTACTTAGAATACAAATAGCTTCACTCTGTCTCTCTCTCATCTTTTTCTCTACTTCCTGGTCTTTTACACCTATATGACCCTAGAATGCCTCAACCAAACTCCACATATAACTATCCAAACTGTTCAGTAATACCTGTATATTTTCAAGCAGGATAAACATCTAAAGTTACACGAAGAAAACGAGTTCTTCACCCAAGACAGCACCTTTAAAAAAAAATCACAGAAACATCCAGGAGTGCCATATAAATTACTAGGGGTATTACTGAGCTCCAAAAGCTTTAACACTGCTTTTTACAGGTAAGAAAACAGATACTCTAGAGTCCAAAATGGACTTGGCCTCTCTCTCCCAACACTGCAGAAGCCAAACCCTAAGCCTGAACTGAGGCAAAGAGAGGGCTGAATCCACCTCCCCGCCGACAAGGTGCTGACCTTGCATACAGATCTAACAAGAATTCCTTCCAAGACTACCTAAGACGATTTCCCTCCAGATCTCCCAGCTCATTTGAGTTTGGAGCAAAACACCCATAGCCTCTGGGCACGCCTCAGGTATCTTCTGCATAGCCTACATTAGCATGATGCTCCAGGATGAATGAGTGTTGAGCAGTGTTTGCCCTCTGTAAATAGGGACAACTACCAAGCTGTTAGCATCAATCTCCCTGAAATCCTTGTTAAAAGGGCTGTAGGGAGCAGAGATACTGTTCCCTCCTCCCCGGCCCAGAGGAAGGAAGACATCCTCCCAAGGGCCTTTGCTGCTGTTAAGACGTGATGGGTGAATGTTTTGGTGTCTCCCTGGCCACCCTGAAGATGAAAGGGGGTTCCTTAACTCTCCTGGTGCAGCTTTTCCAATTCCCTGTGCAACACTACTCAAGCTACAGACACCGATTTTTTTAGACTACTGCTTAGAGCTCCTGTTATCCACAGGTCTTCCTGGATTTACAGACCAAGCTACCTGCTACGTGAGACACAAGAGCACAGCAGTGACTGCCGGGCCAATGACCCAGAGGAAGCTGCAGCTTGCACTACCTGCAAACAACTCAAGTGCCCTCGTGTCCCTTTAACAGGGCTGGGCTGCCTTAGGAGAGAGGTCCCTAGTCAGGAATCCCAGGGATTACAATCCCAAGAGCATCAAATTTTAACAAATCTGTTCTTCAAGCTTTTGTCTTTGCAAAAAACGTGCTGTATGCCATGAGTTACAAAGACACCTTGACAGCGAAGTCTCAACGTGGTCTTGGTTGAAAAGTGACAAGTTGCAATGCCAGTACTCAGCACAAATCTTGGGTTACCCAACCAGAGAGTGTAACCAGGGCTAAGAAAGCATTGAAATAGCACAGCCAATTTTTTCAGTTTTTGTGCACTCTCTCCTCCAGACCTCTCAGACTGATCATCAGCTATCTTCACACACGTTAACATGCATCTGAGTGACTCCAAAACTTTCCTCCCAATTGTAGGAGTTGGTGGTTCCTCTTGAATGTCACATCCCTACAGGCTTTAAACTGGAGAATGATCTCGCATGAGGAATACAGTTTGGACCTCTGGTTTGTAGAAAACAAAGTTCACAGAAATGGTTAAAACGCCCAAGTAAATATACGCTAAATTTCCATTCCCAAACCCTGGCTCTGTGCAGAGCCTTGTCAAACAGGAAACAACAGGCTCAATATCACTATGACCAACTCTACCAAAAGTCCCAAAACCAAACAGATATTTGGCAGCTTCAGCAATAACAACTGCTGACTGAAATAACAATGATGGGCATTAAGCAATTTACTGATCAGCAGAGTAAAGAGAAATTTCTTCCACAGCAGAACTACCCATGCCCTACAAGGGCACTGCAGTGGAAGGTGTTAAAAGCTTTGAGGTGCTTCCAAGCTCAATGTCCACCTCTCACCAGAAGGCTCCAACATGTGAAGAAAGAATAAGTTCTTTCCTTCCACCCCTCCAATAACTCCTAAGACAACCAGCTACTCCTCACTTCACATATTTTGGCTGAGGTAGATGGAAAAATCTTACTTTTCTTAACACTATGCCTGAAAATTAAAAATTAAAACTAAAGGAAATGTCAATCTATGTCTTGAAAATATAACCTTGTCTTGAATTCCAGGATTTTCAGGTGGCTGTTACAAATGTTCATAGTTCATATAATTTTCAATCAGCTTTTTTTGTGTGCATGTATGTGTGTATATTTTCAGAGACACATTGTATACCTCAAGTGAACATTAACTCAATTTTTCACGTAACTACAGTTTATTGATTGTAAAATCTGGCACGGATTTAAAAAAAGCTTATCACAGATGAATGGTTTACCAAAGAATAGCTCACAGTGGTATCCAACAGTTTTGAATAATAAAACCCCTAAACATTGTCTCAGTCAGCAGCAGGAACATCCCCAAACCCACACCGTGTGACCAACAGCAAACCAACCTCACAGGAACCAGCCAACTGCACACTGCTGGCAGAAAGGCAGAGCCCAAGCTGTCCCATGGGATGCTTCAGGAGCTGACACATGACACTGTAGAGGTGCGTGCTCAGGCCAGTGCTTGATGACTTCATCATGACACAAATCCACAGCCCAGTACATCTCATCCATGTTTTAGACTAATCCCACAAATATGTTAAGCATTTCACCAGTAGCTATGCAACTAATGGAGACCTATTTCCCATTACTCAAATTACCTGGAAAAGGGTTTCTTCCTCTCAGCAAGTAATGCAGAGCACACTGCAAATCACATGACTCAGAACGTGAGCAGATCAGAGGGGGCTGATTTGCATTTTTCACAGAGACTTTATATATTTGAACTAAAATTAAAATGCTATCCTGCATAGAAAATTGTTTGAATTACTCTTCCACATTTACAACAAGGAAATTTTAAGTTCAACAAACCACTCTCCAAACTGATGCTTGTGCTGGTGAGAACAGTCCTCTAAAATTGCTCCAAGAGCAACAAAACCCACAAAGGCTGGTTTCCTGCACAGGAGGTTTAAAGGAGGCACAGCACTGGTCCCCACACTCCAAAACACCACCTTTCTCCTTGAGCAGCACTTCCCTTCATCTCCAGCTTCCTCCCACGCCACGAAAGTGCACCCTTCCCATACTATCTTCCCAACTAACACTACTCCCAGGTGCATGTACACAAACATACACAAGATAACAGAAACCTTCCACAGGCTCCCAACAATCCAGTTGTCAATGCGAGACACGCTGTATATGCACAACTGCCAGGGTCTCTGTGCCCTGGACTGAAAGAGGGGATGGGGAAGGAGACAAAATTAGCAAATCTCTAGGCAACAGGGAGATAGGCATCTCAGCTCCTACTAAGAACAGGAAGGAAGAGTTCACTAAAACAAAAAATAAGGTCTAGGGACAGAAAAGTAGAGCCTGATAACAAGCAAAACAAGTCCGACCCTTCGAGCTCAACATACTGTCTATCCTTGCTGATTTATTTCCTTTCCTACTTACACAATTGCAGAAAAGGACTAGTCTAACTGCTCTGCATCCCACAAGGATGACATATGCCTATACACAGCAACCACCATAAAAAGCACAACCACTCAACTGCCCAAAGAGAGGCTGGAGTTTCAATCCCGTACCTTCACAACACATTAATTCAATCTCCAAATTAATCAGCCACGTATCCACATCACGATCATAATTAACAGCATCGCTCATGCACATTACAGTTATCTGTGATAAGGCTAAAACAATGACTGAGGAGTATGGAAATACCACAAGACAGTAAAGACCATCACACATGTCACCTTCTGACTCAAACTCAAGATGTAGTTCTTCCTCTTGCCTGTGCCGTTACAGAGCAGAAGTACCCACGTACATAAATCTACCCAAAAAAAGCCTTTATATCCTGTAATGTTTTTCCTGAATGTGCACAACTTGCTAGAAAGCAATGCTGTATTACACAGGTACTGACTGAACTGCAAGAACACAAGAACATTTGCAGCAGTCTAGCAGCTAAAACTAGAATGGCAGCCTACAGACCACGAAAGATGGAAATTTTTCATAAAGGCAGTAAAATAATTGTTCTCAATTAGCAATGAACATAACAGAATTTCTTTTTGCTCTCGTATACTTTTAAGACATTATTGCAAAATAACTTCCCCCTCTACCTTCTTCATGTCAGCTTTTGATTATGTCTACATCAGTACATGGAAAGAAAAATCAGGAAGCGGTACAGCAAAATAAAGAACACACACTGTCTAGAGGTCATATATTTATAAGATTAGACATGTCTGAGCTACCTAATAACCTTACAGGCTTTTAGGTGATCAAGTTGCAAAAATGCCCAAAAGTATTTTTATCCTTCCCGATGTACATTTGCCTTTCAAGCTACAAGTGCTTTCTGAGGACTGACCTGCCTGAATACTCCCTACCTTTCCCCCAGAAAGTCTTACACACTGTATACTTTACCAGCCTACAAACGTTCTCAGGACTTAAGGGAGGCTGAAGCCTTTCCATTCCCACACTCACTACCACTGCTGGGTAACAGGTGCATTTCCAGACACGTGATAAAGTAGTAACTTCACAGCTGTGTATTTCCCCTGCCCAACCCACAGAGCTGCTGCCCTGAATTAAAGATGAGCATCAAGAGAGTGCATAAACTTATGATGACCTGCTTATTTTATGACTTCTCTTATGGGAATATATGCCTCCTCATAGTCTAGGTTTCCAATTCAACTTTGAGCCAGTTTTTTTCATTAAGAGCCAGTTTTTAAATTATTCGCCAGCTTGGCCCCTAAACCATCAGTGATGTTATATTTTGGGTAATACAATCCCTCCTGGTCCACATTCCCATGAAAGAGAAGGCTGCAGAGGCAACAATTCTTTTAGCCAACAGTCCTGCAATCTCACCTGGCAGAGCCCAGGTCCCACTGCCTTCTGGCTGTTGAAAACACGATGAAATGTTTAGTTACAGAGCAGACAGGGTTTCAACAGAACAGCACAATATTTTCATTACCAGAAAGACAACACCGAAACAGCTGTTTCCGTTGCTAAAAGAATTATGAGGTCCAATAGATCTAGCAGTATACACAAAACAGATATTTACAAGCAAATGTCTTTCATGGATCCACAAAGGTATTGAAGACATACTGTCAGTACAAGCTCAATTGGTATTTACAGGACAGCAGTATTTGTGATTACTGCATGCACAGGGTGCAGCAAGCTGAGGTTGAGGCAGCACAGGCTATGGGCAACACTCAACTCCTTAAAAAAGGTGTGGAAATGCCAAGCACACAAACATCTGAAATACTTATGACCAATTAGTGAAGGACATGGCAAAAGCAAGCACCATCTCCTGCAGAAATCTCCACTCCGTTCAATCAACAGCAAAACATCAGTAAATTTAGCAAGGATAAGTTGAAGTATCCCAGTTAAATCAAGACAGCTTTGCTCTTCTTTCTTGAGTAAGGATTATCTACACACTAACATGGTAAACAATATGTTCATGTTACATTTTCTTCCAAATGTGCAGAACTAGAGAGGGACAGCCAATGTTACTTGGCTGTTTTGAGATGAAACCTATGTATCACTTTTTCTGACTTGCCTCCAAAAATCCAGGTGCAATATTACCCAAACCATCACCCAAAGGAGAAGGGATTCATGGCAAAGTCCACATAGCAGGAGTACAGACTATGCACAGATCTATAAAAAAAAGTTGATACAAGTGTTTATCTCTGCAAGCTCTCCTCTTACAGCAAGAGTTACTACAACAAAACGAGAAAAAAAAAACCCAACTGCCCAAACAACAAAAAATCCCCACTAAAACACTAAACCTCTGAAGGACCTGTAATGGCTACAAACAAAAACTGAAGTATCTACCATGCAGAAATCTGCTCAAGCTAAGAAATATTCCCTATCTTTTTGAAGTAAAAAACCAAAACAAATCAAAGTTAATGACATGCAACTTGCTTGGTTAAACTGCTGGTTGCTTGATCCAATTTAAACTCTGAAACGTTAAGGTATTTGGAACTTCCCAGAGGTCTTCTGTTCTTTGTTTTCTATCGTGTCAAGGCAGGGGGAGGAAAAATTCCTGTCCAGCCATCTCATATCATTTTTTGCCTGATTTTTAGTGAAACAAGGTTTATGCAACTCCATTATCCATGCATTAGTTCTTCTCTATTAACTCCTGAACCCTTTGTTCAGACATTTCACAGAGGGACAGAAGTCTCAAAGATAATTAAGTTCTGATCACTGTTCCCTATCTTAAAGACATAGATACTAAAACTACAAGAGAAAGTGAGAAAGGTAAGATAGATAAGTTAGAGATATGAAATGGTTCCCATTTCAGAAACAATTAGTAGACTAGGTTTTAAAGCAAATCACTAGAGATTCCACAGTGTTTGGAAGAATTATCAAAAGTGATTGCTTTCTTATGCACCTTCCAACACCTGCATTGTCAGTGCTGCTCAAGGTAGGTCCTGGGCTCAATTAACTTTTGAACCAGTTCATGATGGCCAAGTGTGCTCCCAAATGTTCCCCCTCTGCCATGGAAGAAGGCAAGTATTCTGCCTCACAGCAACAGTCTAAAGACTGAAGATCTCAGCACTGCATGAGGCACAAATGGTGCATATGGTACCTTTCCCAGTAAAAGTGTAAGTTCCAAAGGAGTGGAAACAGAAGGCGGCGAAGAATCACGTAATGGAAGAAAGAATACAACTTTTAGATTGTCACTGTCCTTTCTGTTCCTCACAGCACCACTGGCTGTTTTCACTCACAGATGATCTGAGGTAAAAATCAAAGACAAAAGTCTGCTGGTCCTTTTGCCAGAGTGGTTATAGGTGTCAGCTGCACTTCATAGGTCGCTCTTAGATAAGAGCTGTGCCATCATGAAGTAACTGCTACTAGGGATACCAGCTTAAAGGTAAGGTAGGAGACTGTACAAACAAGATTTGAAAAGAGACCGTGAGAATCCTGGAAATAAAGTTAAGCTTCCAAAGCTCTACCCCGAGGATAAAGAAGCAATTCTGCTGCTAGAAATCAATTATATGGCAGTTCAAGAAAACCAGTTTCAATTAATCCATTCCCAATATCCCAGCTGTAATGTAGGCACATTTGCATGTGGCACTGACCCTTCAGGTTCACTAAGTCAACCTCATCCAGCTACCAGCAGGACAAGCATATGCTAAACATTCCTGGAGAACCACTTTTTTAATCTGTGCTCTTCATGAGATATCTAAGCATGATTCTAAGGCCTCTGGGTACAAAGCATAGTGTCTGCATTGTCTCCTCTGCCACTTCAGTTTCCAAAGATGTAGCCATACAAACACTAGCTGCAGTAGCAAAGTTGTGAGCCTATGTAATTTCAGCTGCATCCACTACCACTCTTCGTGGGGCAATACCATGAACCAGCTCATGGAAATAGTTTGGGTTGAAAAAGAGAAAAACGTCCCCCAAAGAGAGCAGAATGGTCTAATTCACAGAAGAGTCAGAGAAACACTTGAGCAGATGGAGAAACTAGTCAGAAGAGAGCTCCTCAAATCATGGGGGAGTATTTGGTGGGGGGGAGACGGAAGAGGAGTATCCTCAAGCTACACCCTAACAATCATCTTCTGTAGCAGCCAAGAGAACAGCCTGTTCTGTTGTAATTCTCAGTGCTAAGGACAGATAAGAAAAACATTATTTTCCAAAAGATATTCAGGCAACACAGAAGATGACAAGAAATCAGATTCATATTCCCTGCAAGTATCTCAAGAGCTGCAAAACAAGAACCTCTGAAGTACCTGGACACCAAGTTTGGTATCACCCTCAAGAAACAAACAAACGAAAAAATGTTGTGTTTTTTTCTTTGGGTTTGCTTGTTTGTTTAAGAGCAATGTTCAACTTCACTTAGTCAATGTGAATTAACTGCTCTGGTCATAGTATGACAATATAAAGTCCAGAGGTAGGGATTTCAGTGCCAGATCAGAAACATCATGGCTTCACAATGTAAAACATGGACAAAGTATAAACTCCTGCCATAGTTTTTGCAATTGTTTCTTCAAATGAGAGTGCCAGTGAAGCTGATTCATCCCCTGCCCTTCATACAACCCCCTCAACTTGTGACAGCCTCTCCCTGGATGGCAGGAGGCACACATGCACGTGGTAAACCTCACTGGGAATTCACACGGGTCAAACAACTGTCTCCAACCAAAGCAATTCCCTGACCTGTGCTGCACAGCCAGGCCGAGCTGCGTGAGCCCAGCAAAGGAAGGAAGGAGAGGACAGTAACACATCTATGCTTGAATCAACACCCTACCAAAAGAAACATCCACAGAAACTGTCTCACTTGGCTGGCTCAAATTTGCTCAGATGTTAACAACTTAACTCTATAACGACAAGCTCTGTGCTAAATCAGGGATCATCTCTTCACGCCACACTAACTTATGCTTGATCAAGCATCATCTGTTCTCCCGCATCTTGCATAAAAGCATAAAGTCCCCAGATTAACCAGAGCACATCAGGTGCAATTTAACAGAAACATTACCATGGGCCACATCTGACAGAGATCATGATTGGTGATCTGGCAATGCACAGAACCAGAGCCATGAAATCTCAGGCACCACAACTGAAAAGCTTGTGAGTAACGAGACCGGAGAAGCCCAAATCTTTCTTCCACTTGCAAACTCACTTTAAAGCTGCCAACTAACTTCTCTGCTTTGCTTCATTGATCAACATCAAGTAAAAATTATCTCAGAAACACTTCTCCTTCCAGATGGTGGCCCAGCCAAAGAACTGGAAAAGGAGAACATGTGCATGGTTCCTTCTGAGCTGGGCTACGCAGCCCGAAAGCTTCACAGGTCCTTCCGGATCTGGTTTTAAAAGTAAAGAGGGGATGAGGAACCATACCAGAACTTCAAAGACACTCTGAAGCAGGGTCTTTTTGTATATTGGATCTATGGCAGTGAGCTCTAAAGAGCTAGAACCACGATATCTTACAACAGCACTTTTCCCAACAGTTCCAGTTATGT